AAACTTTTGGGTCCACTTTTTTCAGCACAACATTGGCTGGTTTCAAATCGGTGTGAATTACTTTTCTAGAATGCAGAAACGCTAAGCCGGCCGCTATTTGGCGCCCAAAATCCGCCACATGGAACACCCACAACTGATCGCGCTGTTTCAAAAAGTTTCCAAGATCTCCATCTGCAAAAGTGCAACGTAATTTTCCGTGTTTATTATTGAGATTCATCTGGAGCGGTACTTCCACAGATAACGTACAAGTAATGCGTATTTCATTTCCGTACGGCAACCTTCCTCTCCCCATTTTCCCGGAAACGAATACAAATACAAGTTACATGCCGCAGCATTCTTCACTCTACAGTGCATCAGATGGCCTTTACTATTTCCCCGCACACTGCGCTGAAATAGCCTTTCGTTGATATGCCGTAGTATGCGCGGCACAATAGCCTTTTGCTATTTTACCGCACACTACGTTATAATAGCTTTTTGCTATTTTGCCGCGGTGTACTCGGTGCTACGCCTCGTACAGATAGCTAAAGTGCTATGCTGCGGCCACCTATACCATATCGGGCACCACTGAGTGCGCCTCCGCACGCGACGGCTTACTTATCATCACCGGTCAGCAGCTCGACTTAGCCGGAGGACAACCCGGCCCGATACATCGACCAGCTTTCGGAAAACAGCGACCGTCCGCAGTCGCGCGACAACCCGAGAATGTATTCTCCCGACCCATGCGGCGGTTCGGCAGCTCACGGAAGCACGTACACGAAATCGGACACAGGACCGACACCAATGGGATCGGCCGGAGGAAAGTGACAGCCCATCGACGATGGTCACGACTACGACGACCGATACCGAGAAGGACCTTGTTCCTCCGTCTACACAAATTGACTCGACCTCGGCAAGATGCCAGGAAGACGGAGCTGGGGGAGTTGGTGGAAGAACAAACTCGGCATCGACGCAACCAGGCGGGCAGCAGATAGGAGGCGGGGAAGCCGCAGCCGGAGGTACTAGACGAGTTCAATGTGGAGTCCTGACATCGAAAAGGAAGCGAGAAGTCGACACGGGTCAACACGTTGGACACGGCGTAAAGTCTATCGGAGCCGACCAACGAAAGCAGCCGCGACCGCCGGTGTGCAAAGCGAGCCGATCGTAACGATGGACGAGACGACCAGGTCTATGCAGCTCGAGACCGACCAGAGGGACGGAACATTGTCTAAAGATGTTGGACCGATGCTGGTCGAAACCGACGAAATGTCACCGATTTGCCAATGCTTGAGCGAGCACTCTTACTGCCCAAGAGTCTGAAAGCGGATCCGCGACAATTCGAGGCGATGTGCATAATGTGGATGAATAGCTTAACCAGCTCAGCCGCCTGCGCCGACAGCACGAAGCAATCGGGACCGACCTGGATGCAAAGTTCATGGTCAAAGTGAGCGGGGCTCTCACTGGAAACGCTACGGATTGGTATCGAGAGCATACGACAGCCAAACCAGAGAAAGGCTGGCCGTTCGATATCTGGATGCCCAAGATTACGGCCAGATTCGCCGACCAAAAAAGGCATCAATGCCTTGACTGAGATCACCGATTAATGGTACCGACAAACGTTCCAAGACACCGAAGCAGTTCACCAACGCGACGACAGCCATCAAGTCACGGGGCAGCCATTAAGGGAAAGTCGTGCTGCATTTTCTGTGCAAGAAAGTGGATGACCCCGACCTGAAGCAGGCTTTGGTCTACTGCAAACCGGAATTGCTGGAGGAGTAACTGGAGTAACATCCGCGCATATTTCTCGGGAAGCCACATTACAAGGCGTTTGACCGCACGTAGCGGGTCAATTAGTGCGCAGCCGTACGGATGACATACCAGAGCGTAGCCCGAGGCGACACGGATACAAATCTTCTCAGACCGCTTCCGGGACTGAGCAACCCGGAATTCCTCGACAATAACGAATACCTGAGAATCCACACGACGATCATCAGGTGCCCTCCGCTTTCAACCGACCATGCGCTTTATGCGGCAAGCAGGCTTTTGTGCGAGTAATGACGAACAGGAGGAAGATAGTAGCCAATAGCAGTCGCCGGTGGCAACCCAGGAACTGATGAATGTACCGCCGGAGCTACTGGACCCGGATTTTCAAGCGATGCCGGTGCAACCGATTCAAGCGATATTACCATTAGCCGAGGAGGCAGGATCAGCTGGGTGCTAGATACACCCGCCCTTAGCCGGACAGCGCCCGCTTGATGTCGGAAAGCGACCTGCTGATGCAAACGGATGCGGACGATGAGCCGCGATCGCTTGATTCCTTAGACTCGGAGCTCGGCAGCACAAGCGACTCGCAATCGCCTTACTCGGACGGCCAGACCTCGAGAATCGGCTAAAAAGATGAGGAAAGTTCGGATGAGAACGGGGCCAGAGTTAATATGTGCCGTCTATCATAGCCGGCACCAAACAAGAAACGCTGTCTTTATTGTTACCCTTGTCCGACACTAATTAAGACTCGCCGTGACTAGTGTCCCCAATGCAGACACCAACTAAGCCGCGACCTTCCTAATCGTGTGCCCCATAACTGAGCATCTCAGACACCGTTTATGCCTTGCAGTCTTGCACGATCTGACACCTGCCGGCAGTAATTTTGTGTTCCATGCTTTTTGTCTATTCAACGGTTGTCCCCTCAATATCTTTTACTTCTGGTAATTTAATGTCGTTTTTCCATCCACTAGGTTATTTGTTTTATCGTTTTATGAGTTTTAGCGTTTCACAGAGTTTTTGTTTTATTGTAGTCGCTCTTTGAATTCTTTTGCTACCCTATACAGTTGTTTTTATCAAACATAAGAAGCCAAGAGAAGACTTGACCAAGAGGATACTTGAAATAGCTAAAGGCTATTGTAACGCAGTGTGCGGCAAAATATTTATGGCTATTTTGCCGGCCATAATGCGGCAAAATAGCTAAAGGCTAATTTAGCTCGCCCTCCTCAGCGACTGGATCTTTTACAAGCTATTATTTTTCTTGTTTTGACCAGACTTGAAAGTGCCTTTGGGTTTGTCTGCTTACTGAATAAAGAAACAGTCTTTGTGCAAAAAATTTTGCAGTTGATCATTGTTACTTCACCGTATTGTACGTAAATAAACGATACAAAATCGGCTATAACTGCTAAATATATCCGGACTACCAAAGTGACCGTTGGTCATTTTTGCCGACCAACCGAGTGAAATGTCTGGGAGCAAAAACGACCACCGTAAATTTTTGTCTACTCATTCTTCTTAAATGCGCTCACCATCCTCTGCGTGTTCTGAAGCCGAACACTTGAGTAGGCACACACATTTAACTGACACTCGAAATCCAGCCGGCGTTCTGGTCTAAACAGAATTTATAACCAAGCGATACATATTAGTCCAGCCTGACCGCTTTTTATCCGGCGATTCAAATTGTGTGGACAGTGGACAGTGTCCACTGGACACCAAGGATAAGTTACGAGTCCCAACTTCCAGGCCTGGGGATAATATACGGTTCCGGTATAGGGCTTAGGAGTGAACTACCAAAATGAGCTGTTGTTGTCCCCTAGAGTAGGTGCACAAACTGCCCCCCCCCCCCCTCCGGATAGAAAACTCTTATGAGAACTGCCCGGGATACATCTTAATCTTGGCTATATGTCGCGTGCCGGCCAAAGTGTCCGGCTAAATTATGAATGCACTCAAAACCACGAGCTGCTACGGGCTGCCAAAAACATATGGGGTAGAGGCAAAACGTACGACTGACATGTCATGGCACCAGCGGACGCTCCGATCGGCAACAGCTGTCTACAGCGCACGACTGGCTCAGCGTAAAAAATTGTGGCAGTTTGAGTCGACCGCTCAGTAACCGGTTTATACAATAAAAACAAGTATTTTCGAACCTGGTAAATAGTCCATCAGTATTTCCAAAGTACCCTGTTCGGGCTGTCCCGGTTGCACGTCGTATCTTATGCTGTGGTACCGCACAACATTTTCATGTTCAAGCTGTAGAAGAGCCGCCCAGTGAGCTTGGTTGGCAGATTTCGTACACGGAACCGTTTTCACAGCCAGTTCTGTCTCTTTAGCAAAGCTGTCGCTGTCGACCACTGTTACTTTATGAACAGCACCATAGGCGCCACTGCCGAGGGAAGTTGTTTTGGAAAATGTGCATTTTGCGCCAAGAGCGAAAGATGTCGACATTTTTTATTGGCACCGGGTATACTATGAAAAATACAATGTCATTATACCATTACGAACAAGACTTTCTAAATAGAGAGGCACGATGCTGTCGGAAAAATTCTGGTATCTTGTCGCTCGCTCTTCGCTAATGCGCAATTTTAATCATTAAGTTGCAATTGTCTTGCTCGCCTGTCATCTGATGTGTTGCATTCACATATTCAAAAACACATTGCGTTTCAACACGGCGATGGTACTGTAACGCCGCTTGTTATAATTGTGGACCATTTCTGTTGTTGTCATTAACGGCTAATCAACGTGCGGCATCATTTCTAGACACACTGTACAATTTACGGCATAGATATTGTGGTATATCAGCACTGTGAACCCCACGAGATAAGTGGACCCTATAGATTTGTACTTTTTCTGTAGTCTGTACTACAACATCGCTTTTAAATACAGCATTTCCTCTGTTGTCCAACTAAGGCTAGGCGATAACGATGATCCACTTCAAGCCATTACCAATATTATAATCTGTTGTTGTAAAGGCGGGTATATTCGTATAGGAAGCTCTTGTACCTTTCCGGTGATACATCCTGTTTGACCGCACATCGAACAACTCTATCGAAAATAAAAAAAAACGCAAGTTCTGATGCAATAACTGACAGAGCTGGGTAATGTTGAAAGCCATAAGCGATTGTGAATGCTTTCTGTTTAACCGTCGGGCGACCAACTTTCGTTGTGCCGATAAGTTGTAATACAGTGCTGCGTATCATTTGTTAGGATGTACCATAGTATGCGCGTAAGCTGCTGCTCCTTGGCTGTCCGATTCGAGAGCTTTTTATTCATCCTTAGAGCAATGAAATACGGCAAATCACTTAGACTTTGATAACAGCCAATTTATCTGGTTGATAGTAGCCTTATTTCACAAGACTAATTGAGCTTTATTGCAAAAATTAGCAGTCAGGAATGTTCTTAAAAACTATGTCCCTTGAGAATAGAGTGGAAATGGATTGAAATTAACCAATTCCGTGTTGTATGATCAAAATAGCAGAACTCTGAATCAAACTGCGTATTAGAGGTGAAATGGGATAAACTCGGTCTTGATTCTGTCGAAAATCAGTAGATCGATTCAGGGAAGGTGGTTACCCTGATTTGGTACTATCCGTGTTCCAGTTGACAATGAAAGCCAGGGATAGCAGTACGGCAATGCAAAGGAATCCGACTAACGTACTTGGTAATATGCTGGTGAAATGATAATACGTCGTGCTGTGGAGCCATACTACTAGCAAAATCATGACGAAACCGGTAGCCGCAATAGCAATCACGGTTGCCTTCACGCAGTATACATTTTCATTGATGACTCTCCGCCAGGTGGCGAATGCTCCTTCGTGAGTATTCTTGTTAGGTTCTGCTACAGCTACTGTTGTGTCTGTTGATCCACGAACGTCTTCGCAGCTAGAAGATAATTTGACAATCGCCAATCAAATACTTTCTTAAACTATAATAATTATTAATTTTATGATTCAAAACAGTTTGTGCCGACTTGTAGGAACAGACAGACTGAATAGCTGCGATCTGCATACCGGCATACGCAATTATTAGTGATTCGAATGTGACTTTCTTACGAGTGGCGAAAAAATAAGGGAACGGCGTGGCAGGAATAAAAGTGGTGCCTCGCTGTTAGTGTTTCCCTGTTTTTACACTAACGGCAAAACTATACTCCCCCCATTTCCAGTAATGTACTCGAGCATTCGAGCATACCTTATTAATTTTTCATGCTCTGATGACGATAGCGGTATGAATTCTTTTGGCAATATTGTTTGCTTCTTCTCCCGGTACTGCGTCAAGGCGTTGACACAATGTACGGCTGTGAATCTCAACTGTCTATCCACAATGAGGCAACCCTTTATGATCTCAGCCAAATCGTAAGGGACATCACGAACGGCAGGTAAAAACCCTTGGGCGGCATGCCACAACACCGCTGGATCGTTGTTTTCTTTCAGCACCAAAAACTCATTGGTACTCTCGTGGTAAAACAGGTTTTCTGTTTTCCCCGTATGACAGTCGAATAAGGTCAGCATAATACAGCCAAGACTCCATATATCGCTTTCTTTCCCGGGAGTATCCTTACTATTTTTGCCATGTACGCACGCTTGTACTGTTTCCGGTGACATGAAACGAGGCGATCCGCGAAGATGCCCAACCGGAATATTGGTTACGTCCTGTTGCATCAGAATACCTAGCTCCAAACCGCTAATGTAAAGCTGATAGCCCCATGGAGGCAGTTGCCTTCGCAGCAGTATATGGGCCGGCTTCAAATCAGAGTGCACAATATTTCGATCATGCAGAAATAATAGGCCACAAGCGATTTGATTGCCGAACTCGACCAGTTTCACCAGCGGCAGTCGATTTGTAGTCTTGATGGTAGTACTGACAAAGTTGGAAAGATCCCCGTCTGAAACAAATGGCGAAAATATGTTTTTTTATGCTAATAATAAAAGCGCTCCTTGCCCTTACCGGGTATATAGTCCATCAGGAGCTCAAGAATTCCGATTTTTGATGGATTTTCATAACATGTCACTTTGTGATAGCGCACAATATTAGGATGCGCTAAGTCCAGGAGATTTTGCCACTTGAGAGTGTCGTTGGGTGGATGCCAGCTGTCGGGAAGATGTATTTCCTTAACAACCAAGCTAGCTGTGCTGTTCTCATCATTACACACCTTGGCCATGTAAAGAAAACCAAAGCGACCTTTTCCCACTATATCCTTCTTCTCGTACATCCAGCTGCGACCAAGCACACACCATGACATCGTATTTTGGAGACAGTAAATACAGGTCTGACTGAATAGCTACAGTAATGATTAATACAGGACATTTACGTAGAAATCGAAAACTTCGCTTTAATAATCAGCAGCTGACTAATAATTTATGTGGTTCAACGGGAAGTGCTTGTATAATCGAGCACTAATTATATACACAGAATCGTGTTTACAATTCAATTTGAGATAGTGTAACCGTTGCCCGAGCTTTGCTTTCGAGACCGCGTTAGTTGAATAACTGCAGTACTGATACAGCGATATCTGTTGATAAGGATGACAGAAGCGTGAAAGCCTGAGACAAAGTGTACAGGTCAGCTGTACAGGGCGCCTGTATTTTCAGTAATTTCATCTGCGCTTTATAAAATAGAGTTTTGCATCGCAGGCACTGTAAGTCTGAAACCAAACGCGTTTTCGTATCAGTATACCAGCATCATTCAGATTTTCGATGGCTTCCTTCTGTTCATCGTCACGTTGTGAGTGTGATTGCGCTCAAAGCAGTACTCTATGCAACCCATGACTTCCTTATATTTTCGCGGAATTCTCTTATTCTGTGAGTGCAAAAATGGTATTGGTACGTATTGCTGGCATTCGTGCTGACATCACAGATATCCAAGAACAAACCCTTAACAAAACAAATTCTCCTAAAAATTATATTGCGAAGGACACGAAAAGCAAGCGTCCCTATTTGGTATCTCCCGATCTGCGCACGTTCAGCTAATATTGGCCAATACGATGGAAACGTGACACATCACTAATAAACCGAAGAAAAACTAATTCACAGTACTTCAGACACATCCAGATTGAAAAGTAATGCCGAAAAACTCAGTGAAGATTTTTTTTCACTTTGCAATTTGATTTACGTAGCAAATTTCAACTTTTTTCTCTCCTCTACCAGTCAATTTGTGTGAAGAAAAAAATACGTCATGTTGCGAATCCTCTCTTCCTTCAGTGTACATTATTCAACAAAAAAATATTTAATGCTTTTCTAGAAAAACAAGGGCTAAGCGTGATTACTTGCCAAAGCACTCAACATCTAGACGGTAGAAAACGATAATTTCGTGAAAAATTTTTAGTTCTTGGAGCAATCGAAAGTTGATCGGTATTCAAAACCAGCTTGACTGGCCATAAAATGTTTGTTTTACTGATGCGAAGAAATCTTAATTTCATGGGCACAAGAAGGATTAAAAGGAAGGAACCTGGTGTCCGAGAAACATAAATTCCTTTTCTAGTTTTTCTTCAATTTCCCAATTTTTGCAGATGTCAAGCCACCGCAGTACATCAAACACACTACGTAGTATTGGCTAGTATTTGTAACATTTGTAATCGAAAACGGCCAATGTCAAAAGAAGGAAGGAAATTTTCTGGTGTCAAATACAGGAAGGAAAGTTTCACATTCACTGATATTTTGATAAAACTTTTTGACGAATCGAATTTTTATTACCCAGTTCCCAGTATCCCTTCGAAACATGTCAACCGCTTCCGACGAAAAATAACAAGAAATCCAAAACAGAAAGTCCATTCAAAAACACGAAACATCAAAAAATAACGAAAAACAGACGAATGCTTTTGCTTAAGACATATGCTTATCATCCGAGTTGTGAAACCAAAATAAATACTACAGAAAAATCTACATACGCCGTTTATGCGTCTTCATCGCCGTCAGGTTTATAACGTTTCATATTACTGCCAGATGACTGTGCCGTTGTGTAGCAAAATTTAAAAAGAAATGCCAGTAGGCAGTAAGCACCCTCTTTTGGCCCCGTTATCTTTAGGTAACCCCCTATTTTCCGTTGCCATTGTTATAAGGTCGAATTTTCTTGACATTAATAGAGAATTTATAGAACGTGATTGCACTCCCGGCTAAGTTTCCGGTTGTGCACCGACAGTTGCCCGGCACGAATCAATGCGGGCCAATGGTCATCGCTTGGTAGTGTGAAACTGTGGAAGGGTACCTCAGCTGCACCTGCCAGAGAACGCAGTATTGACGCTAGGATAGCAGACAGCGTCGTACAGGTTGGTGGTTGTACGAGATTTGTGTTGCTTATGTTGCCGCTAATTGGTTGATAACTGCTAGCATCTATGACCCACTAGCGCCAGATTGATCCCATGTTAATTGCGGCGTTATCCCTCTTGAATTTGGATGTGCAATTAAGTCTTGACTGAAACATCTATCGAATTGCAGTTTAAACAATAACATCCCGAATCTAAGATCTCCCGTGTCTTCTTGTAGCGAAAGCATTAGCGGAAGTACCGACAGTATTAGCATTAGCGGAAGTACAGTACCTACCGGAAGTCACATCCCTTTTAATTAATCTGGATAATTACATCTTCCAGAACACTCTCGTGCACGTAGGAATAGGTAACAGTCTGGTAAGTAGAACTTCGACATAAGAAAACATTTATCTTTCTTATTTTCCCACTTTGTCGTTTGAGTAAGGTTAGGTCATCTAGTGCGGTAGTCCTAGTGCGACTTCCGCATAGCATGTCAGTATTCACTATAGCTAATACGGCCTACCCAACTGAAATCTTGTTTGGGGGGCCCAAAACGCAGACCAGCGAACGATCAAACCGCCCGGAAGGGCGATATTGTCGTGCGCATGGAAATGCCGTACGCACTCGATCTATGCTGGCCGATCAGCCAAACCGGCCCATTGCCGGATGGAGCGGCTAGTATGCCTTTATGTGAATGGCTGATCTCGTCATGTCAGTCCTCTAGGGAAAAAAACTAAAAATGGGTGCCTACAGCCCGCGGAAAAAAAACGGGCCGCAAAAATTATCTAACAGAAAAGATGTCTCTACAGTAAAACAGGTTGCAAAAGGGGCTGCCTATAGCAAACGGGTGAAAGGAATGCCTTTAGCCTCAATCACTCCAATTAAACATTTATAATACAACAACTAAATTTTGATTCTAAGTGCTTTGTATTAGGAGTACACATAGATATCCTTTTACGAAGCAAAATGCTTCTTGAGGAATGACGCTTTGTGCGATACGTACCTATCCGGCTATCCCCGAATTTTAGCAATTTAAACTTTGTGCACGGTTGCCGTACAAAAATGTATCACATCAAAGTGCCCTGCCTGTATTTTCTAAATGCACTAACTGCGCAACACTTGTAGCCTAAAGTAAGCAATTTAAAATTTAGAAAGCTGCGCTAAGAATACAATAGAATTATTGCAATTACTATTGCAATCAAAAGCTACAATATCTGCTTAAGTAGTAATTAGTAATTAGTGTTGGGTCGGCCCGGCCCGGCCCGGCCCGGCCCGGCCCGGCCCGAGCAAGAGGGCCGGGCCGTCGTTTACACGGCCCGGGCCGCGGGCCGATCCGGGCTGCGGCCCGACATGTCCCCGGGCCGCGGCCCGGGCCGTCTTGCAGCACAGTTAAATTTCATTCCCGGATGTCATTATGCAAGCGGCTACAGCGGGTATGTCAACGGAAAAATAGACGGATTTTCACCGAGAAACGTTTAATGCTGTGAAAATTAGGAAAAACTCATCGAAAACTACTAAATTTCAATAAATAGCAATGAAATTTTTTGTTTTTCTACGTCTTTTTTCATATTTAACGTCCACAACGGGCCACGGCCCGGGTCGCGGCCCGGGCCATGGCCCTTCTCCCCGGGCCGAGGGCCGCGGCCCGGCGCGGCCCTCCCAGAAGGGCCGGGCCGAACACGGCCCGGGCCGTTCGGGCCGCGGCCCTGGGCCGGGCCGGCCCAACACTATTAGTAATAACGCCGGTTTTGTACTTCAACGTACTTCAGCGGCTTGAGGTGTTGTACAACATAATACTAGGAAAAATGCACGTTGGCGTGCATTGGCAGAAGACCGGAGCGCAGCAGCTTTTCACTTGTACGAATGCTTATAATTATTTTAACGTGCTACCAGTAGCACACTTCACAGTTAACATACTTAATCAATAATTTCAATTTAGCAACATAACCAGCCAGGCTGCCAGCAACATTTTTCTAATGACCTTTCGTAACAACCTTTCGTAACAGACACAGACACATTTTTGCATTGGTGCTGAATTAAGAGGACCTTCGTTACGCTCCGGTCAATAATAATATATATACGCTATACCAGCGAGACAATACCATTTTTTGTGAATGTTTTACTTGTTGTTTTTGCCCATAATGTGGTTTCCGGGCGTAAACATTTCCAAAAATCAAGAAGAATTTTGTCGGGTAATTCAAATAAATTATAGTATGCTATTCGGCAGTTCACAAGGATATCTGCAGATGTGACCCAAGGAAACCACACAATCGCCATTTTCTAACTGTCACATCCTTGTCACATTTTAGCTAATGGTAAGACAGGTAAGTAAAACCTACTTAACAACACTGATTTTATAACTGTTTTAAGTCAGTAATTGATTTAGAAGCTAAAGAAATCCTGAAATAAGCAACTGTCGTAAAGTAAACTGCAATGGTTAACGAATATGGCAGTACGCTTGAACAATCCACCAACGTGACAGGCGCGGTATCGGTTTACCCCACCTCCAAACTTAATTGCCATGTGCCGCTGGTCAATTATGCTGTTCACGACTATTGATCGGCGCGTTCGGCTGCAATTTTTCTTTTACCACTGGTGGTTTTCTCGCTGAAAACAATTATAACAATATAGGGGGATCTTACATTCGGTTGAGGAGATTTTTAGCAGAACTGTGACGTTTGAAGTGACGGAACCACTGCTGCGGTATTTTTCCAAGCTTTTAAATAAATTTTATAATTTCCGAAATCTATTTTACAATCTGAGAAAAATTGCTAGAGCCGTTTTCCGGTATATGTACATGCACTTACTTATGCGGACTACAAACTTATGCGCATTTACATTCAAGATTTGAACAAGTTGGCTCATAATAAGATTTTTCATATATCGGTTTGCTTTGAAACTTATCGAAGTTTGCGGTATATCGCCTAGCGCCCTCAAACCGGATGGTGAGTTCCCAAACGGCTTTCACTACAGTGTCGCAAATCATTTGTCCACAAAATGTCTCTAATGAATGTTAAAATTAATAGTGTTTGGGAGTGCGCGAAAAGACAGTTTGAAAGGATTTAGCAATTTGTGCACGGCATTTCCTTTGAAACTAAATACCACTTGCCAAGGCCTTATGCAACTTCGGCGTTTACGTGTTATTAAATATCGTACTTAACACATTTTTGCTGCCTTATACATTTAAAATTAAAACCGCCGCCCGCTTGCCCTGGGGGCGTATGAGACCTTATACTAGTAATAATTCAAGCCATTTTATTTTCGGCTTTCCCAGTTCGTCGTCGAACTTTTAATCCTAGTTTGACTGGATAGTTTAAATAATGGTCAATGTAGCAAAAAAAGGGAAATGGTTATTCCCACCACCCGGGCACCTCCGTGGACTATTCTCACCTTGTTCATTTTCACCGCTTTTGCTTATTCGCACCCCCTTTTTAAAATTATTTGTTACACCACCATTGGCTATTGCACCACCTTTTTACACTTCCCTTTGGCTATTCCCACCTTTGACTTAATTTATTCATAAAATTACTTTAAGTTGCTTCAGAAATCTTTTTTTTTAAATAAGAAGATAGTGAATGATATTCGTAAACCATTCTGCGTCCAAGACCTTTAGAAGCCGGTAAAGATAAAGCCAGTAATATTTGTTGATATTAAAAAGTCTAGCCGATAAACATACAGTAAGTTCATGGCACAATCCCGATCGGATATCTCCTCCGATCACGAGGGAGGTCTGGTCAAACAAGCAGCTATGACTCGGTTATTTAATGTATTAAAGGCGCAGAACTGCCGGAACATTCCAGTTCAAGGCAAGAATTCGACTGGAAGCAATAATGGGGTGCGAATAGCCAAAAGAGGTGTGCGAAGGCAGGGGGCATTAGTTAAAAGGTGGTGTTAGAATTTATTCTTAAAAGGTGGTGCGAATTGCCAAAGGTGATGATAGGTGGTGAAAATAGCCAACAGGGGGTGCGGGGTGGTGGGAATTGTCACCCCCAAAAATATTTCACTTGAGCATTGCTTCATATAACAAAGGCAAAGTAGAGAAATTACTTTTGTTAGGTCCTTTGTAGACAGAAGGAGCGTCCTTTCTTTATGGTGCCTCGTATCATCTCTGCAGGGGACTTCGTAAAGGTGTTACACCCACAGTCATATAGCGCTATGCGTATGGGTGGATATGGGTAAAATATACTGTACCTACTTTGAAGCAGTCCAGTGTGTGATCGTAATCCGAACACAATAAAGTAGACAGGCCATTCCGTGAAGTTTTGAGGAACAAAGTTTTGCCGATCTCGTTTGACAAAATTAATACCGCATTGCACCAAATTCGGAAAGTTCGTCTTAAGCCGCAAACATGGCCATGGCGAGGTATCGTACAAAGAATGTAACTTGCCAGAAAAAAACTATGACCTCCCTAAGAATCAATAAATTTACATCCTGCAAAGTACTTGTACTTTGTAAGTTCAGTTTGTGAAATCAGTGTTAAGAAAGGATACTTCGTAGACGAAGGACTGCGAGCCAGTGACCTCCACCGACGAGCGATTATACGCGCGGAAATCGAAACCCGACTGCTTCGGCGTCGGCCGCGAAAAAAACATCACAAATCCAAGCTTCTCCAACCGATGTATTATCCGGGCCATATTTCGTACGACTTTCACCCCATTAAAATCCTCGGGGGACCTTCCCCAGTCCGCCGGCATCCAGTGCACCTCCAGAGCCAACTGCCCGACCGACCGCAGAGTCTCCGCCGCCTTCTCCCCATCAAGGAAGGTCATCTCCGAGCTCTCGCAATCCATCTTAATCACATCCAGTTTCCGTTTGGTATGATTCAAATCCACGCGAATCTGCTGGACGGTCTTCAAAATCCAGTCATCCGGGCGTTTTACGGCAAAATGCTCTCGACCGTATACAAGTCCCCATTTGTAAAAGTAGTGATGAGCCGCGCGTTGGGACGTGTTCTGCTCGATGGACGGATCGAAGGAGAAGACAGAGCATCCCATACTGTGCAGTTGGTCATCGAAACGCCAGTCATCGCGAATACCGAAGGAGTACACAAGACAGTCGTCTGGGGAGCGGTTGGGGAAGATGTCCATACATAAGGTGTACATACCGTCCACTTTGATTTTTGCCACTTCATTATCGTACGATCCACCGAATTGTTCCCGTCTAATGCACGCGCTCTGGTCTGGTTTATTGAAGAAGCTGCTAAGCCTTTCGATTTCGTAAGGAAGGCTGCCGTCAGCCGCTGGTGGGAAGAATGTCAACGGCTCTTCCGGTTGGTACTTTTTCCAGGCAATCCAGATTGTGCAGTTGAAACGGGACTCATCGCACAGATGCTCGTTGGTCACAAATGGAATCCAGTCGTACTCGAAGTACATTACGTTCAGCCAATCATGGAAGAGTGTCGCGTACCGTTCGTTGTTGATGTCATCTCTTGGTTCTGGAATTTAAAAAGTATATACCTATTATAAATAACTACATAAATTATTTAAATAAATACTTGACAGTTTACGAAATATGTTTTTATTTATTATGGACAAGAAAAAAATTACCGGTATAAATAGTGGTCAGCAGGTAATCGGCATCCGATTGGCACGCGACAATCTGCGTCATATCATAAAAATCAGCAACCGATCCAGTGATTAAAATGAAATCAGCGACTGTCCGAATCGGCAAACTGGACGCCGGTCGACAGTGCGTATCATTTGTACAAAACGACCGCGAAATATTGGTTCGCTGTACTTCCATCGAGTTCTTCTTTGCGAGAGATCCGACGCGTGTCTCCAGCTCCGGCGGTGGAAGCTGCGCAAAACTATCAACCAGAAAGTAAATTTTCGTTAGTCGATAGGTAAGTTAAAATTTGCTTTACCGGATCACAGCAATTCGTTGAGCCGAATCACTGGATTTCGCTTTCTGCTTTAACGGATGCAAAACACGGTCGAAAAGTTCCGATTTGGAGTCATTGCGGCATCCGGCGCACGCTGCTCCAAGAAATGTCTTCACCCAGCTCCAGGCTTGCGATTCGTCGGTGATAACTGGATACGCCGCGGAGCCGTACCATGCTGCGCGTTTATTTCGCAGCCGGCCGCACTCGTTGGATTCGTCGTAGTAGGAAAAAGCGTCAACCGCCGAAGTGAAGAGATTGCTGGCGCTTTTCGCCAGACTGTCCAGGATTCCCGCTTTGACGTTGGGGGGAGTTTCGCGGGGAGGGGTGTCGTCGACAAGCGGCGTGATAACAAGGAGCAAACTGCACGTAATCAGAAAAATGGCGACGCTGAGGTAGACAACGAGGCTGCGTTGCACCTGGCATCTTCGCAGCATTCTCACAATAATGATCTTATGATCTTCTTAATAGAGAAAAATTAAATACGATCCATGCTGTAAGCGCATCTGTGTTCAGTAGTATTCGTTTTCTATGTAACGGCTTCGGAACTCGATAAATCATTAAAAGTCTACTGTAGTACTCTGTATTGTTGAAACACTTGTGATAACTCACGAAAAGGCAAACTGCACGTTATCTGCAAAAAAATTTTATTTGATAAATCTGCTCGGATGAAGATGCGCATGCGCTGCGACGCTCCACGCGCGCAAAACCGTTTGCCCCACGGCAGCTGTTATTAACTTCCGTTTTCACTTTTTACTGCTTATCTTCAACATCCGCGTTCACTCTGCGTCGTGCAAGCTGAATGCACTTTGATTGAAATGATGCACGGAGGCTGCAGCTACAGTACAGTAATGTGAAAACCGGTTTGTAAGCCTTAACAGTAAAGTAACTCTACGGATTTATTATGGCGGGCTGCTGTTGTTCTCGTACCGGCTTCCGCTTATACCGAACTAGGTGTAAGCACGTTCAGATACATGAATACAGAATTTCAAGTGAAATATTCGCCACTCCCATTTCCTCTCACTAAGTACTACCGTAAGTAAGTACAATTTTGTTAAATGCACAGGAAATATTTTAACTGTAAAGCTTTAAGCCTTTTTTAAATTGATCACACAGAAAACAGCCAAATGCAGCACTATAAATTAACAGTCTAGTAAAGAAGGGCTTGAAATATTCTAATTAAATATCGTTACTGCGCTCCCAACACGTTAACGATGCGCGCTATGTGACAATAACCACATAAATCGGTTTGGTAAGAACCCTGAAGTATCGGTACATTGCACATGCAAATGTACAATAGGAAAATCACCAAGCTGTTGTCTCCGTTGTAGAAGGCGTAAGACAATCAGCGCTTGAATGACCGAATATCTGACACAGCATAAACACGCCGCCGGAAACGTGAGCACGTCGGCAAAACGCCCACTCCTTCCCTTCTATAACCCGCATGACCCCGACAACCCTCTTCACATTTCTCTTGAAACTGTCTTATTCACCGGCAAAACTCAGCGAAAACGCGCTGCACCGCTCAGCAGAAGCGCGTTCCTCCGATTTCTTGTAAGAAAATTGTCGTTTTCTCATTCAGCTTTTCCAGTAATTTAAGATTCCCTATTTTTTCTGGGCTGGGTCACGTGATCCCCATAGGCACAATGTATTCCGCAATTCAGAAAAATATTTTAATTCTCGGTATTGTTGCTTGTTTTTATCCAGTGTGGACGGCCACCACCACGAAAGGGACGACAACAACAACGACGAAAGCGCCCGTGAAAGCCAACTACAGTATCATTTCCATACCGGTAAAATATTGAGTCAATAAGCGAATTCTTATTTTTATTTACTTCAACTAGATAACTTGATTATGCAGATTCCCGGCTTGTATAATCCAACGAATCCGCCGTCCGGCTTCATCCCAGATGTCATCAAGGAGATGGCGAAGATCGCCGGGTTTAACTACTATTTCGCCAATATCGGCGAAACCGGGTTCGGACGAATGCTGCCCAGCGGGAAGTTTGACGGCGCCATGGGACAATTTATATTGCATCCGGTAAACGCCTGTATTTACAGTTAATAAAGCATTCCGTAAATACTTGCATAATTATTTCACCCAATAAAGTTATGAATAATTATCAAAAGAAAAACAGAATAAACGGTCAATTAATCCCATTTAACTGCAGTTAAAGTTTTAGAAAATTACAAATTAAAGCTAAGAATCATTGCATAATTTTTCTATATTTATTTCATTTTTCTTATCAAAAAAGGCCAATTTTACCAGTCATGTAGATTACCGATTTTAATAAATGTAGGCAGAATTTGCTGTTCACGACGTAAGCGTCTTAAAGATAACAGAAGAAAATGGTGTCATTCTTGACTTACTGCGTCTGTCGGATCGCGTTTAGTTTGTAATTTTTTTAAATTAACGAATAGCCTATTTGCGTTTCCAGTGAGGCTAAAAATGCGTTCACAAACCTTAAGTAAAAAGATACTTTATTGAAGGCGCGTACGGGTACATGCTGTCTATTCAATACCGTTTAATTATAAACTGCTGTGCTATAAAACTGCTGCATATGAGATCTTACGATCGAAGATTATGACAGTTAGTCAAATTGTGTAGTACATGGGCACACCCCGGTGTGAGAACATTAATTAAATGTTGTTGTACAGAGAGTTACACCAACGATTTGGTAACATTTAGTCAGACTAAACTTTTTTCGAGGCATTTTCTTCATAAACGGGAAAAGCATATTGCAGTCTTTTTCTTAATAAAATTTTTTTCTTCAGGAAAAGTACGATATTTATGCGTCGTTGCTGGAAAATCAAGGCCCTTATGAACAAGTTGTGGACTTCCTGACGCCGTTGTTCCAATCCAATGTTACCACGGTGTACAACATGAAACGCGCTCTGCCCTCGGACATCATCAGTCGGACCGTGGGATATCTAGAGAAAGTGCCGGTTGTCGGTTCTAAGCTCGCGCAGGGCGCGGAAGACATTTTATCCTACTTGAAACGTGTCATGGGCGAGCCGCTTTTCAACACTCTGTTCGGCTTTTTCAATTTCTTCTTCGGCAGCAACGCAGGCAAGCAGAACGTTAACACCGTGCTGGTTAATCAGAAGTTCTGGGAGTATATGGAGACGGCGGTGCTGGATCTATCCGAGACCTTCAACGACGTCCATAATTTGGTAATTGTCATACATTTAAATGGATTTGCGCAAATGCACTGCATTTTCTTTAAAAATTTCCAAAGAAAATGTTTTTCGATTTTTCGCGTTAATAAAACATAATATTTTATGTGCAACAAAACTAAGAAAGTACCTGTTTCTTTTTCATGATAATTGATACGTTTACGAAGGTATCGTACACGATTTCAATTTTGTTTAGTAATATTTCTAGACAACATTTTAGATTTTTTTAAAATATCGAAACGGGGCATTTTATTAATGGAATTTTAAAAAAAATCATTTTTTTTTCTTCGGTGTGAATGTTTGCCTAAATCAGCCTGCATCGAGTTTTTACGAATCGCTGCCACTGTTCTACAGAATTCCTGAAAGGCTTATGGTCTCAAATGGCCGAAGTCTGCAGGTTTTTGAACTAATTATCCGATATATAACATAATAACAAAATAGTATTCTGATTAAATTAATTCGTCTATATGATTAAATTGTTGGAAATATAAAGCGTTCGACGGCATTTAGGTTAACGATCCGAGTAAACTGCGGGATCCCGACACCTGGAAGGACGTCCGCAGCACCATCACCAAACCCGGCAGCTTGGTGCCGCGCACCTACGACCAAAGTATCGCGTGCGTGAAGCGGGACGACGGGAACCAGTGCCGCTTTATCGGCCGCACACCGGTTATCGACAACGAGATCGTCCAGTCCAACGGCAAACTGGGCAAGGATGTCAAAACCATCCGGCCGGTCTGGGGCAGCTTCTCCGTACATAAAGGTGACAAATGCAACTTCTCCACCACATTAATCGATGAGATGAAAAAATGACATAAACTGATTTTTCAAGATTTTAAAACATTTGTCTCTGAAACTTAGGTTTGTAAAACAATTTAAAGAAAGCTACATCACTTACTAAAATAATTTTAAATTATAAATACAATATGAAGTAATAACAGTTCAAAGGAAAGTTTAGAATAAGTAAGCCACATTTCTATTTATATTTTAATTGTAGATGATGTTTTTCAAAATATAACTGTAATATTTTTTTGTCTTTTAGGATATATTTTTAGTTAAGTGAAAATCTTTTTTTGCAGCCGCCAGCAACCCAAAAATTACCCCGATGATCAAAAGCCTCAACACGGCCATCCGTACGCTGATCGACACAAAAGTTATCGAGAAACTGTACACCCAGTATTTTCCATACTCCGTTTTTACGCGTCCGGTCAGCATTACACCTTACTGGAAATCAAAAGCTGAAACATAATATTATTAGTTTTTTTTTAAATTCGTCCATGCTGCTGTTGTGGTTAAGTTATAATGAACTCATTAATGGAGCGGTGGATGCACGCGCGAACAATGTGCGATTAGCGAGTACCAGTGTAGTCGTTTGTTTTGTAACTGGTTTGACACCGGTAGTTGTCGCTGCACTTGTCTGTTTAATCGGGGATTGCATCGGTTTAATCCATTAATGTCCGCATGTTATACACAATGGCAAATGCTGTAGCAATTCCGAAACTTTTGTAGTGTAACGGAAAAAAATCGATCATTTATTCAATAAACGGTTCTCGGCCTGCGCTCCGTGAACTGCATTTCTATTTTTATTGTGTTTCAAATCTTACAAATTTCGTCACTACAGAAATATTAATTGTTACTGTGATCCACGACTTGTTGTTATTTTATTTCGTTTTGGAATTGTTGCACTTAAATTTCATAAAATTATTTGAGAGAAAATGTGTTTAAAGATTTCCCGTATGTTATGGGTGCGTATTACCGTTCATTTGTTGATTTTCTTCAAATTCGGCGCTTTCGCCGAACAGTTTTCTTCGTGTTCCGTGCCGAATTATCGCGTGATCTCTGTGGAACTTCCGGGTTTCCTCGACATCAACCCCAGCGCCAATCAGTACCAGTCGCCGTACTCGGGTTTTCTCGTTGATCTTTTAGACGCCATGGCCCGTGTGGGCCGTTTCACTTATACACTGAAATTAGCGGAAAGCGGCCAGTTCGGCCATCAGCAATCGGATGGATGTTTTAACGGTGCCGCCGGAGCGCTAATTTCCTCAGTAAAAACCGGCATAATTGATTACAATTTGAATATAATTGTTAAAGGCATATTTTAATTATTTTTTTAATTTTTCTCCTTTAGTTTTTTTAAAGGTAATCTGGAAGTATGACCAAAGTGCTGAATATTTCCCGTAAAATAGTAATGTTTTGTTCATCGGAATTTTCAGTTCTCGGCATTAGTTATTTTTACAACAATATTTAATTTTTATATTTGCTTCCGGGAATCCGGAAGTATGGTATTTTCTAAGTGCTGTTTTTCTCTGTCGAAAAAAACCCGGCATTATTGGTTTTCTGTTATTGATCTGCTACATACTTTCTTTCCAACGTATTTTTAAACCAGCATATTTTCTCGTCTCAAGTGGTTTTTATGTTTCATTAATTTTTTATTTTGTATCGGAACCCGGAAGTGTTCGACGTGAATCAGGCTACGTGTTGTTTGCTTTGCAGAATGTGGATATAGTAGCGGCAATGTTGGAAAGTTCCCTGCCGTACCAGAATGTTATTGATTTCACCACGCCCTTCTTCCAGTCGAATGTGCAGGTGCTGTACAATACGCGAACGGGATTAGAGGGGACGTATTATGCGGTACTGGCGCACAGTGCCACCCGGGATTTTCTCCAGGTACATTTAACCAGTATACAGTTGTTCGGGTGTATTCTTAAGGGAATTAGACGCTCGTTTCCGAACGTCTTTAACTGGCTTGTTATAGCGATGTCAGAAAGGTATGCTCTAACAATATTTAAAAAATTATGATAAGTAAACGTACGTATAATATTATCGAAAATAAGAAATTTGCAGAAGTTTGACTGTATATGTATATATGTAATCGCGGCTTTTGTACTGTACATGTGTAACCATGTGTTGTGTTAGTAGCTTTGTTAGGCTGTAGAAGTAATTCGTTCAATGAGAAGTTTTTATTTAACTATATTGATGAGATCTGCGATGATTATACATTACGAACTACGAATGCAACTGTAGTCGAAAGGTGTAGTGTGTGGGCATCGGCGACGCCACTAACTGATGCTGTAATACTCTGTACGTGCCTGTTGCTTGTATAACTTTAATGCACGCTTAGAAAAACCTTAAACGTTTTCCCATACATATAACATGTTTTTTTTCTATAAGCTGGTGCAAGGCAAAATTGTAATTACGACACCGGATTAATTTAGTTTAATTTTGTAGATTTTGTAATTTTGTTCCAATACCGTTAGCTTAAGCATGACTAGAGAGTGATTCTGTATAAACTGTAATTACACTGACTTCACTGTACGTAGAGCTCCAAAAATCCCCGTCTGCAGAGCATATGGTCCAACATTCTAGCGTATATGCCGCAGTCTCTCCCGGAAACCTACGACGAAGCCATCCGGCTGGTTACCGGGGGCGGCTGGGCGCTGATCGGCCGGACTCCGGCTATCGACAATGCCGTGGCCCGATCCGCTGGTCTCCTGGCCAAGGACCCCACCGTGCTGCGGAAGGTCTTTGCCGGCTTTGCTGTACAGCAAGGTATAGAAATTTGTACTCAAATCTAGCTACTCAACTCAAAACTCAATTTAATACTTAAAAGTATGAACTATGTAAATAACGAAATTTATAAAATATTTCAATTGGTACAGCGGGATGTTTTGTCTGTATAACAGCAAATTCGCACTGATATTGTTTTGGTTCAGTAAATAAAACGTAAGGTACTCAACAATCAGGCCACTGGTTGTTTTTTGCCGAACACCGTACAATTACACACAGGATGTTGTAATTTTAATAACTACAGTCACACATCAATATACTTATAGCATGCGCAATATATGTGGAACGCGTTTTTTTCGCATATTGGTTACGTTAATGAGTGCGCTCATTATGGGTACATCATGTGCATAAACATAAGGATACATTAACGCTTTTATCGCTGTAATGATTTGTTGATGTTGCAGGATCACCCTTGCGGCAAAAACTCAACGTCATCGTCAATCAGCTGCAAGACGACGGAACACTGGACACGTTGTTATATAAACACTTTCCTTTTTCCAACTTCCATTGTCAGTAATAGCACTCGAATAAAGCCGAATTGTTTGATATTAAAGCGTTACGTAACCGGCTATACGATGAATGCATGCGGCGTATCGACTGACTCGGACAAGTACGTGTGTAGCCGCGAGCCATTGGCTGCGCTAACTGGACACACACTCACACAGAGAGACGGATTTAAAAACTCAACCGCGTACGACTTTGTACGAGTACCTCGTATAATAAGTGACAAAATTTGCAGCTGAGCAGAGAAACACGAATAGACAGGAAAAAAACTACGCGTACGATTAATCCGCTGCAATTAAAATGCGTGACAAATAGGCGCCGTGTATTACTGACCTGTACACGCGGTGCAGCATGGCTGATGAAGCGAATCATGCCATGAGAAAACGGTTATGTAGTAGAGCGTTCTTCGCTGCCAGATCGAGGCCTTTCAAGATCAGAACAGTGTTGGCCAGCGATACAGTCATTAAGAATCCGACAAACGGCATCGAACGGATTTGTGTCGGAACAATAAGATTCGCATAGGTTTTGCTGGGGAAATTTGTTTTCCGTGTTTGGCGGACGCTGTGCACCCGATCAACGAGCGAAATGTGCGGAAGTCCGTGTGGTCAACGTGGTTGAGAGTCTGATCGTTATTCCTTCAACACGGTGAGAATAATTATTTTATCTGTTTAATTTCCTGTTTAGGTTTCTTAGTGTTTCTGCACTTTGTTAATGTTCGTTTATTTATTATTTAAAAGTTTTAAATATTTTGGCCATTCTTTCCATTACTTTTTTATTTTTTTGCATCATAATTTCATAAGTTTCAATTTTATTCTGTTTTTTTAGAGCGATTATTCACTTGCTCGTTTAGTCAGGAAATTAAATTCAACGATAAAAAATAAAAATTCGCCATATTAAAATTAAAATTAATTAATTTATTCATCTGGGTTGTTCGTTGTATCGAAGCGTACTCGTGCATAAAAAAGAAAAAAATATTTTTTTATAATGAGTGGGCAGTATTGCCAATAAAAATCTCGAGCAGTAAAAGTTTTCTATGTTTACCACGTGACATCTTTATGAAATTTAACAAAACAGTCGCCATTGTTGTTTTGCCAAGTAGGTTCACAAGCGTCGTAAACCGCGCCGGTTATTACATAATAATCATAATTAACGGGAAAATGTTGCGACTACACGCATGCGCGATAAAAAACCGTTTCTGCTCAGGCGAAAGTGTTGATGAGAAACCGGTAGGGTATTATTAATTTTGCGATGCAGATGGCGCGCGTCCGCCCGCGTCCGCACGCCGCACTGTGCGCCGGCGTCGTCCATCTGATTGGCCTACTTTGCCTGCCAACTGCACTACATGCTGCCGCGGAGGCGGTGGAGCGCTTTCGCTTGGATGACGTTATTCGAAGATCTGATCCTCTGGATTGCAAGCATCCCGCGGTGCGCTTCGAGGAGCCCTGCGATTGCTACAAGTACGTTAGAAAGAACTGACCGAGAAGATTTTTTTAATTTACACTCTACATTTTCTTGTAACTCTTTTCTTTTTTATTATTAAAATTCGTAATAATTTTTATCTTACATGCTTGACAGTGACAACGTTTTTTAATCGCAGATTTTTTCAGAATTTTTTCATCGAATTTCTGACTCATGTAGCATTCGTACGAGCAGTTTCCAGCCTTAATATTTATTTAAGGGGGGATCCATAAATTACGTACGCAGCGAACCAGGGAGGGAGGGGTCCAAAAAGCGTGACAAGCTGTGACGGCCTCGACGAACCCAGGGGGGAGGGGGTGGTCAGCTCCATATATTACGATTGAACGAACCAGGGGGGAGGGGTCAAGCAAATGTGACGGACCGCTACGAAGGGGGAGGGAGGGGTGAAAAAATCGTGGTTTTCTGCGTACGTAATTTATGGATGCCCCTTAAATGTGCTTCGTGCCGTAGAAATGCCCATAAATCGGCGATGCACGCAGCAACACTAATAGTGTATTAAGTTATCGAAGGAACCGTAGTGTAAGGGCGGTGCTGGGAGGCAAATTGAGTAACTGTTTATGATTTAAGACGATATTGGCCGCAAGAATAAATTAATCAACAATATTATCCATTTTTTTATCTTAGAAATACTACTCCAAACGAATAATTTTCAGCACGCAATAGACAGATAAAAATGTATATATGTAAGTCTGGTGCACGTGCTGCTTATAATAAACAAGAGCATTTCAGTAAAAGATTGTACGCAACATTATAGCGAGTTTTTTTATAGCGCAAACATTATAGCGTTACATTTGCGCAGCACTTTTATAAATTTATTCAACCATGATAGATTTTACGCAGTACTTTGTGTCTGGGATTTTTATTCTGAAATTATGCAAAATCTAATTAAGAGCGTTTCGCTTTAAATAAATTGGATTTTTTAATATATTTTCGATTCTTTGAACAGTTTGTTTCTTTTAGTTTCTTTTAGTCTTAATGGATACGTAAGTTTCCAGAGGAAGGTTTCAAATGTCACGTATTTGGCCATTTTCAGTCGTGATTACCGCATTTTAAACCGTGGAGTTGCTCCGAACTCGTCGTCCGAATATCACACTGCCGATAAAGCTGCTACGTAGAGCAAAGAAACGTAGTGCAATGGCTTTAAAAGGCTGGTAGACAATACAAAGGAACAATACGGACTTCAATTTTGCCAGCGTAATAACGAATTTGTAATGATACACCAAATTTTTTAGGTCTTTGCAAAGTAAGCCAAAATTAGGGCAAAAAAAGGATCAGGGAGTTCAAATACCGAATCTAAAAACTTTTTGTATACAGTAATCTTAGTGTAGTTATTATTTGTGTATTTATTCATTAAAACACTCTAGAGTCGTCATTGATTATTCGGTATTTACGTTATGAATTCTGTAAAACCCCACATTATACTGACTTGAGTAATTTATTCACTTGTATACAACAGGTTGCGCGATGTGACGCCGCTCACGGCTGTGATCCACTGCGACCGTGTGGCCTTCCGCTTCTTCCCGCCGCTCCCGCTGGACGTCCCCCTACATCTAGCTGTCTTCCGGCACACCGGTTATCAATCCCTCCCGCCGGAGCTCTTCACCGCCGGCTTCCGCCACGCCCACCTCACCGCCCTGGATCTCGCGCACAATGCTCTGCTTTCCCTCCCCAGCCACGCCTTCTCCGGGCTGGAAGACAGCCTCCTCTTCCTCAACCTCTCCAACAACAACCTCGGCTCCAGTTTCCAGCCGCAACTCGATCTCCCGGAACTAAAAACCTTAACCAACCTCCAGTTCCTGGATTTATCCGGAAACGGGATTAAGATCCTGTCGGACGGTTTCTTCCAGGGATTGCGCCAGCTCCGGGAAGTGTACTTCCGGGATAATGAACTCATGGATCTATCTGCGTTCGCCGGACGCGATTTGGCTGGACTGGAGGTTCTAGATGTGACCGGAAACCGGGTGTTCCGGGTGGAGTCCCGGAAGTTATCCCAATTAATCGGGTTGACGCGGCTGGTGTTGCGGGATAATTTTATCGGGCAGCTGGGAGGTGGAGCGTTCGCCGGGACAAAGTTGCGTAGTTTAGATTTGAGCGGTAACCGGTTGGCTTTCTTGGAGGATGACGTCATGGCGGGCGTGGAAAGCACTCTGGAGGAACTGGATGTGTCCGGGAATGCACTGCGGACCCTGCCGAATTTCAGTCAGTTGGGGAAATTGCGTATGTTGAACTTGTCGAATAACCAACTGGAAGATTTGGAAACCGGTATGTTAATCAAAATCATATCTAATTTACTTTTGTAATAATATCTTTTTACGCATTTACGTTTTTTTGAACGGCTGAACTGCGCATATTTCTTCATTGAATTATTTCTGTAACGGTTTCGTATTTTACTTGAATGATTTTAATAGCGGATGTGTCAATCAAAATATTCCAGCTAATTTTATAAGTTTATTGTCTTGCGTACCTTTTACGCGACTGGATTTTATATTTCTATCTTGATCCACTTATATTAAAATTACGGGTTTTCATGTGTTTTATTTGATAAAGTTTTGAATCGGTACGTTAATCAAATTATTGCTGCTAATTTTATAATAACTTTTTCTGTATTTAAGATTTTCTCAGGGACTGGATTATCTATCAGTATATTTATTTCTGGTTTAAACTACGTTATTCTAAATCACTGGTTTTAACTAATTCCACCTGGGAAATTTCGAAACCGGTATGTCAATAAAAATTAATTCTTACTACAAATTGAATTTTGACGTGTCCAGATTAAGCTTTCCAGAGTCAACAATAATCGTGTACGTCGTACGAGTAGATATCAACTAGCTAAGCAGAAAAATATGTTTAAACCCAGAACGTAGTATAACGGCTCAAAATGGCGACGATAAAGATTGGAATTATAGCCGATGGTTTCTTCATAAATTTGGAATTCTTAAGAAAATTTTTTTTCTACATATCCTGTAATAAGAAGGGTTTATTGCAGCGAAAGTGAACATACCATTATCTCTGCATATTTTGGACATTTCCGGCAACTTTTTCACCAGACTGTCCGTCAGTGATTTCTCCGCCCTTTCCGGATTAACGGAATTTTATCTTTCCCGCAATTTTCTCGGCGTTCTGCAAATTCAATCGGGCAACACTTTCCCGAATCTCAAAATCCTCGATCTCACCGCCACAAATATTTCCACATTATCTTCCAATTTTTGGACGGCATTCCCTAATATTACCGATTTGGAACTGAGCTACAACAATTTTCCTAGCGGATTTGCAGGGCAATCATCCAGTCTCCAACGGTTATCCTTACGGAAATGCAAAATTCAAAAACTGGATAAAAAATTCTTCGAAAATTTCCGTTTATCCAGTCTTGACCTTTCCGGCAATTTCCTGGACAATTTACCAAATCTTCCAACAAACATTTCGGATTTAAATTTATCATGGAATAAATTTATTGTAATTCCATCTCTAGCGCAGACTCCACTGATTAATCTGGATGTAAGCGGGAATTTTATTAACAACGTTTCTCTGGATAATCTTCCCATGGCGTCCCTGGTGACCTTTAACATTAGCCGCAATAAATTGGACACTTTGCCCTTATTAACGTCGGAAGAGCAGCACCGTGATTTCCTGGGCGACACACGCTCGATGCCGGCGCAGAATAGCGCCGTGACCTTTCCGTTGCAAATTCTTGATGCTTCGTTTAATCAGATTCAGAGTTTAGACCGTGTGTTGACCGGATGGTCACAATTGCGGAAATTGTATTTAGCCGGCAATCGGATCCAAATGATCACGAGCTTTTTTCTGAGTGACCTTTCCAATTTAGAAGAGGTGGATTTGGCGGGAAATGGGCTGAGTATGCTGGAGAATCGGACGTTTTTACGCTTAGCGAGTCTGCAACGGATTAATTTGCGGAACAACCAGATAAAGGTCATAATGTGTTTAGTTGATAAAGTGTAAACTGAATTAAAAAATACGACTTTTCATGATAAGCGATAAAACGGAATAAAACAGCATGCGCCGAGCGATAATAATAATGGATTATTATTCATTTTTTCTAATAATAATCGTTGTAATTTTGTTGTATTTGGTTTATTCGATTTATTGCAGTTTAAGTTTATAAATATTAGATTGTTCATACCTCGTATAGCGATACATGAAATCAGCTAGAAACGTGTTTAATTAGCAAGGAAACGATGCGCTATTGCGTTAGCTGGAATTATTCGGATATGGTGATAAGAGCAGCAGTCAAGTTACGTAGTGCACGGGCATTATACCCATTTTTCTGAACGCTGTTCGATCACGAACTTCGATCCTTAAGCGCAATCATAATTATGCGTTTAATTGCTGGACTAGGACTAGGAATACTTGATCTTTTTTTACAACATGTTTTTATGCACGCTGAAAGATCCAATTATGGCTTTAAATTCTAATTAAGTTTATTATTGATGCAATAATTAAAATAAGAAAACGCACTGACCGATTTACATTTATTGAATAAAAATTGTTATTTATTTTTGCAATAATAAATGACTGTTTCTTAAAACTTAATAAATAACTGGTTTTCAAAGCTGATTAAGCAAGTTTTTATGTGCATTACTTATTCTTTTGCGTTTCGCTTCCACAGGTATTCAATGGTTTCGCGTTCGATATGTTGACCAAACTACAACACCTTGACCTTTCGTCTAACCAACTCCAGTCGGTCCATCCCAAAAATCCCTTCGAAAAATTTCCCTCTTTAAAAACTGTAATTTTATCGGACAACAACCTGAAAGAATTCGCGCTTCGCGATTTTGTCGCTAACAGCAGCATCGTCCGTCTGATAATGGAACACTGTCACCTCCTCCGGCTTTCGATCGGCACCTTCGACAATATGGAGCATCTACGCGAGCTGCGATTAAACGACAATAATATCGCCGAAATGCAGGAAGGATTATTCAGCAGCACGCCGCAGCTGCAAATCATCGATCTGCAGCGAAACGATATCAGTTCCCTGTCGGAGAATGTGTTCCGGCAAATACGAAGGCTCGAGTTGCTGGATTTGGGATACAATAAACTGGAGAGTTTAAAAAGGAATACCTTCGCGAAGGAGAAAATCGACCGGTTGGAAAATCTGAATTTGGAAGGAAATCGGTTAACGGTGAAACACAATCGAGATTAGCTACTAATTTACCTCTGTTACATATGCAAATTTTAAGTAACTGCAAAAGCTCGCATTGACCGAATTTAGAAAGGCAATCAAATAATGGATTAATTATGATTAGATTGTTTATAATTTTTCAAAAAATATGGGTAAATAAACTGCATAATTGTAAAGTAACGAGAACGAAATTAAAAATTGAGGATTTAAAAAATATGTATAGAAATATCACAGTTACCTAATGATTATTTGTTATGAATAAATTTTAAATTAAATATCATTTTTTCCGTACTGCTTTAATTATGACAGTCAAATTTTCAATCGGCAGTGTTTCCTGATTTCTTAGGATTGTTAATTTTTCTGGGTGTAATTATTTTCACAATTATCTTTTTAATAAACTAAATATAATTATTTTTAAATTGATAAATTATTTTTTAGGCGGTTAAGAAATTCTGAGCCCCTTTATTGTTACAGGAAATCCCGATCAATGCCCTGTCTGACCAGGAATTCAACCTGATTTCGTTGAACCTAAAATCCAACAATATCGCAATCATCCCTTCCGGTTCCCTCATCAGCACCAAACACTTGAACATCGCGTTCAACCCATTAAAAGCCGACAGCATCCGGCTGCTGCTCTCCGAACCGAAGTTGACCTTTGCGCTGGACCTATCCGGTACCGGCTTGAGCGATCTGCCGCCGCTGCAACTGCAGTTTTTATCGGCACTGAACCTCTCGCATAACCGACTGACCAGCTGCGGCGATCCCGTGTCCTGGGATCGCGCGGCGCTGTTAACCGTCCTTGACCTTTCCTTCAACTGGATCTCCAGTATGCAAGAATCACAGTTAACGGTGGTCTTACCGAAACTGGCGTTTTTAAAGGTCAGTTGACAAATATTCCGCATCATGATGAAATCCTGCATACAAAAAAATAAATCATGCAAAATTGTCTGGTTGAGAACACAAAATGGTGCAGTACTAATAACGTGGCGCAATAACCAAGAGCTTAAATAATCTTATATACTTCGCTTTGCCCATTATTTTAATCAGTACCGCTTTAGGGATCAATATATTAATCACTTTTACTGCATAGATGCAGTGCTGGTCTTACTGCATAGATTGCAAACTGATAAGCTGCGTAGGCTGTATAGACACTGAATGGTAATGCATAGACTGCATTTCAGTCAGCCGTGGTTGTTCATGTAGCCGCCCGCCACAAAGGCTCTCAATTCGGTAAAGTGATTAATATATTGATCCCTAAAGCGGTACTGATTGAAATAATGGGCAAGGCGAAGTATATATTGACTGTGAGAATTTTGTTTATCGAAACCGCGTTTTTCCAGTTTTTGAAATTAGTTAATTCATCAGACAGACCGCAAGAAGCAAAAATAAAGAATATATAAACATTTTATCATAGGTAGAAAATCCAATGAATTTTCTGCATCCATTTTGAGAATGTGCTATAAAAATTACAAGATATGATGCTCATACGAAAGCTTTTTAATCGTTCGTGCCAAAGCGCTTCATGATAACAGCTCGTGTGAATGAAGAGAAACGTAGTGTACTGGCTTTATCTTATTGCAGAGTTCCGTGGCCCAGTGTTGATAGAGACAGTTAGTTATTGGAGGGATACTGTAAACAGAAGTACAATAATAATTATCAGAAAATTGTTTTCTTTTTAAATTCTAAAATATTGAAGGATAAAATCCGAAAGAAAAACATTTGAGTATTCAAATACTTATTCAAGTATTCAACAATTGAATAATAACTAGGAAACCGTTATAGGCACCCCCTAAAACTAAAACTTCAGTTTATTATAGGCACCCCTTTTAACACCCCGTTTATTATAGGCATCCTTTTTGATTTAATATATATCTGTATGTATGTACACACCACAAGGTCATCTTTCGCGGTAGTCAGATCATTCACTTTCTTCCAAGCCGTTTTGGACACCGTCTAATTTTCTCAGCCTGTAACACTTCGGCCAACCATTCCCTGTGAGCTGAGGCTTTCGCAATACAGAGCTCGCCGGCGATACTCCAGAGATCAGTTCAGCAATGTAGGAACACACCATCGGGCGGACCCCGGCAACTGAAGCTGGACAATCGGAAACACTGCGGTGACCGGATTCTGTTCGCCACCGTACAGCATAGGCAGCTGCAGTTGGACGTGCGGCGACAGCGGAGCATTCATACTGTTATACAGGCGAACATACTGTTGTACGGTACGGTGGCGAACAGAATCCGGTCACCGCAGTGTTTCAGAACTGTGTTCTGGGATGGCCTTTTGTGCGACAATACAAAATGGTTTGAGCCATACAGGGCCTGGATACATTCCATTCCTGCCGCGGATCATTCTGTATGCGCCTTATCTCCTCCGCATTTTTTGGAATATGTAAATGATATTCCGTTCAAAAAAATATTACACCTATTAATTCAAAAGGGGTGCCTATAATAAACGGGGGTTTTAGGGGGTGCCTATAAGGGTACCCTATTAAATATATTTATTTGCGTTTTGATCGATTGTTTAGTAAATGATTTCTAACAGAAAAAATTATAACGGCGACGTAATCCCGGTGACCTTTAGATTTAAATATTTTTTAATGTAGCTTGTTGTGTAGGTTCTGAATTTAAGCAACAACCTCTTACGCAACATCCGCGAGAACGACTTCGCCGGCCTGATCAACCTGGACACCCTGGACGTCTCCAACCAGCCGCGCCTGGAGACTTTCGACATCAGCAATTTCATGCAGCTACCACGTCTGCAATCGCTCTTCATCTACAACTACCCGCGTCTAATCAACTTCCCGTTGGAAGATATCTCCTACCAACCGCTCTTCCTCCGCACCCTCCACGTCGAAATCAAGAAACCCCTTCTCAAAGACGACCTTGACGGTTTCCTCACCCCCGGACTCCGGAGCCTCACCATCACCGGGAAGTCGCTCCGGGAGGTGTCCCCGCGGGCGTTCCGTTCCCTAAACCCGAGCACTATCTCCATGTCCTTTGAGAACACCTCCCTGGAGACCCTTCCGGCGGCGGCAGTGTTCGGGCGCTTCCCTAGGAATTCTATGGTGGACTTCCGGTTATCCGGGAGCCAGTTGGCCGGGATGGAGCTGGCGGGGCTGCTGCAGAACGCCGAGGTGGAGCGCGGGGCGTGGCTGGTTGAGGGGAACCAGCTGGATTGCACGTGCAATGTCAGTCTGTTGCAGCCAGTGTGGAGGAGTGTCCGGGAGGCGGGGCCGGGTGTTCCGAATGTGGTTTGTGATGCGCCAGCGGGATTTAGAGGGAAAAACGTCCTGTTTGTGGAGACAACGGAGGAGACGTGTGCGCAGATGACAGAGCCGACGGAAAGGTCACCGGTGATAAAGAATGCGGCGAACGGGAACCGCGCGTCGAAATCAGGTGAGCAAACTTAATACATTCTTACATTTTCGACATTAATTAATAACAAGTAAATGTTACAATTACTAACGGGCAATAACTGCGGCTGTTATTTTATTTTTGTTTAAGGATAACTTAACGGTTGCTAGTTTTAAATTACTCGTACATGCTTTAAATTATTCTGGATATACAGCATAACAGAATAAAAACCCTAAGTTTAACTTTAAACATTCTAAATTTAATGCACTATTACACGTCTGAGTTCGGTAAAAATACTGTTAGCTACTATAATTACTCACCGATAATCACTGTTATTTTTCGTTCAATAATAAATTTCGGTTTGTTATTAATTTTTTATGAGGATTTTCAAAATGCATAAAAATACACAACCAGGCAACAGTGAAGGAAATTGTAGTTAAATGGCTCTGGCATTCCAGGTAAAAGTGTGCCTATAAACCAGAATGAATCCGAGCAAAACATTTATTTGGTCTATCCACATAAATTTACAGTACAAAATATCGCCAGGTACATTTTTCCTCCAGAAACAAATAAATAAACAGATGCGACGGAATATTATTTTGACCATTATCTGTAGTAATTGGTTTATATTTTTTGTTCTTGTATTCAACAAAAAATTGCTCTCGGAATCAACATTGCAGCGGCGTAATTATGGTGACCTTTAAAATTTTCAATAATGAAAACGTTTTTAGGTAATAAATTAAAGCAACATTTTCTGAAGTTTTCCTTTTTTTAGAAAGGTTATCGTTCGTATCGTAATATAGAAGCTTTATCCTCTTATAAATTTTCTTTCTTAATTTTTAATGTATTTCCTAACTACTGCACTTGTGCGGCTGTGCCGTACATCTTGTTCACAGTATTATGTAAATTATTTTCTTTTACTTCACTTTAACTTTTTCTTTGTAAATTTTTGCATGCCCTTGTGCTAATTCTTGCCACCGGTAAAATGAACACGACAAACTGAGAAGTTAAACAGTAAACAATTCATCGTCACTAACATCCGGCGGCGAATTCTCCGCCATTGTTTTATAAATCCACTCTAAATAATACCCCACATCCACAAACACCGAGGGATAGTTCTTCTGCGCACACAACATAGCCCATGACACCAACCCTCCTAACACCTCTTCCCCCTCCCTACACCCCTCCTCCCCCTGACCACACCTCCAGGTCACCGGGCCCCCGCTATCCCCGCCGCAACTGGACTTCCCGGGAGCGGCGGCGCAGAACATCCCGGGCAACACCTTTCCGTTGTACGATTCCCAGCGGTTGCACTCCGCCGTGTCGACGATCTGCAGGTCTACCGCCCGCAGCCGGGTGCTGCCGGCACTCCCGTAGTAACCGCTCCCCCACCCGCTGACCGTCACCTTTCGGGAGGCGGTTGGACGGTCGGTGGGGGCGGGGAGGGGCAGGGGTTGGATGTAGGGGGTGAAGGTGATGGGGTGGCGCGTGCGCAGGAGGGCGATGTCGTCGGCGAAGGTGGCGCTGGTGTAGTTGGGGTGCGGGAGGATGGTGGAGATGGCGTAGTCGACGGCGTGTTTTTCCGCCACGGTGGTATCGTGCTGGCCGGCTCTGACTAAGAGGGCACCCGCTTCGAAGGCCCTGCGAAATTCAGTTCTGGCTTATATAGCAAAAATTGTTATAATAATAAAAAAAATATACTTTAAAAAATTTGAATACAAAACAGTTAAAAACATCCATAAATAAAAAATGAAAGAAAGTTTTATGAAGATTTTTATAAACTGGTAAAGGAAATGCTTTGGAAATAAAAATAAAAGATACAGACAGTTCAAAAAAAGTTGTATTAAATAGCCATGAATTGAGTCATTAAAATAAATTTTTACAAGATGCAACGCTACTTGTAAACGACTGGAACAAATACAGGATGCGCCCCTATTCTACGAATTTCCATACTGTTTTTCATCCGTGGCGCTATGCACGCAGTGTGCCGCTGTTAAAATCCAACGCTCTCCGATTATCACTCCGCCACATCCCCAAATAGGCGCGACATTGCCGTCGTTGTACACAAAAGGGAAGCGGATGTGTACTTGGTAGGGTCGGGACGCTTTCGCCACCACAGCGCCACCGACAATCCGGAATGTCGGCGAGGCGGCCGTTAACTGGAGGGCCGCTAAAAGTGCCGGTCATTAGCGACATTTTTTTAGCAAGTTGCTATACTTCGCTTTGCCCATTATTTTAATCAGTACCGCTTTAGGGATCAATATATTAATCACTTTTACTGCATAGATGCAGTGCTGGTCTTACTGCATAGATTGCACACTGATAAGCTGCGTAGGCTGCATAGACTGAATGGTAATGCATAGACTGCATTTCAGTCAGCCGTGGTTGTTCATGTAGCCGCCCGCCACAAAGGCTCTCAATTCGGTAAAGTGACTAATATATTGATCCCCACAGCGGTACTGATTGAAATAATGGGCAAGGCGAAGTATAATAATAAGAGACTTAAGAAATCTAAGAATCCTAAGCATATCCAAAGAATTTTAGGAAGTCATTAAGAAACCCATGAGAAACGTAAGAAACCATAAGAAAGCACGAGAAAAGAAATCGCACATTTGTTTGCAACACGAAAACCATAAAAACATAAGAAAATTTGAAAATTTTTAGAAATCTAAGAAGTCAAAGAAATCTGAAAAACTTAAGAATACATAAGAAAGTATAATGAAAACATAAAAAGGCTTAAGAATACACAAGAAACCTACGAAACCTAAGGATCCTTAGAATGCATGAGAAACTTAGGGAATCTAAGAAACATCAATGCGTACCCGACAAAACGACAACAACGGATAATACAGACATTTCCGGTTCCGATATGCGACATCCGCCGATACTCGCGCCAGCTACGAAGTCCAACGCAGCGTGTGCATCGTGACAGTAATTGCGGCTTTAAGTAGGGTAACCAGTCTAGTGTTTTGTGGTTGTTATTTCCGTATCCGGCATTCCGTGTTTCACACGCTAAGTTGCATTGTGGGAATCAGCCGATAAGCAGCGATACCGGCGGAGAATAGACAGATTGTTTCGGAAAACGGAGGTTTTATGTGTTTATCATACGTCCGATAATGTTTACCTTGCGGTATTTATACGCTGAATTATTACACGGCTGATCAAAAATTAATAGAAATAGTTATTTGCTAATATGTGACGAAACAAGTGAGCAAGCAAAAACCTAGAATACTGCTAAGTTGTATGTATAAAAAAATTCGGAAAAGCTTGAACAACCGTTTACAGCTTCAACAAAACAACAGAAAAGGACGAAACAAATTCCGATCTTTTACCAAGATCATATCGTTTTTTTAGAAACTATCATTAACGGAATACTAATTGTAAAAAACCATGAAAGAAACATATCGGTAAAATTATTAAGCTGTTAAATAACAAAATGTTGAAAATACATTTATTATAAAATAAATTTTCAAGGTCCGTAAACAAAATTTAAAAAATTTTGATTCCAAAATATAAATGTTTTAAAAACATTTTTACAAATATTTTTAATTTTAAAGATGTAGTTTTTTTTAATATTTTATAAACATATATTTGCGAAATATTTTCAAAAAATTATTACAGTAACGTATCAAGCGAGCGAATATAATTGTGTTTCCAGGCTGTTAATTATTTTTTTTACAATTTTACAATTTTTAGGCGGCAATCGCGACGATCGTCGACACTTTCAGCCGAGCGTCACCGAGCCGGAGATCATCTTCGAGGTGACCAGCCCCGCCTCCACCACTCCGGCCCCTCCCACCTACCGCATGGAGGGCATGATCGCCGGCATCATTCTGGCTACCCTCCTCTTAACCGGCGCCATCATCCTAGCCATCGTCTGCTGGAACCGCCGGGAGAAACAGCGGCGCCGGGCCCTCCTTCTCCAATCCTCCCGCCACGGCTTAGCCTGCGAGTCGCAGTACGCCGTCTTCTCCAACCCCGACATCGTGGCCCACCCCACCTGGTACCCCCCGCCCAAACCGGTGTTCGTCGTCCCGCTGTCCCCTAGCTTCGACCCCCACGGGGTGGCGGGCGGTGCGCTGTACCTGGCGCCGGACAGCGTCAGCAGCGCCCCCTCGGTGGACTATACCGTGGAGCTGGGGGAGCCGACCAGTGAGTCGGAATTCGGGGTGATCGACGCCGGGGAAGTGGAGATGGATAGTCGGATTACGTACTCGTATATGGAGGCCGGGGACACGACGGATGAGGGGCCGTATAGTGAGGATTACTTCCCGGATGATGATAGTGTGGAGGCGTCGTACAGGCAGGAACAAGCCTATACGCGACGTTACCAAATGCCATAAAACATTTTATATCGATTACCAATGTCGGTTGTATGTTCATGTAAAACTAACGATTCTTGCGTGTAGAGTTTCCTATGGTGACCTTTAGTCCTTTACTGCTCGTAGATGTTGAACTGACCATTCTGTGATAACTGTGTTGTGGGTTTGATACTCGTGTAATTTTAATGGAGGTAGTAATTAACAACATTACCGGTAAATTGTTGGTTCCATTCGCGTACTGCGTGTGCACATTATTGCGGACGTTGCAGTGCATTAATTACGATACGCCTATATGCCGGTATAAGTACTCTAATTTCCAAGCGGCGGTGATCGCCGAGCCGGTTGTTATACCAACATGTACGCGCGATACTTTCTTTTACATTTAAACGTATACAAGCGTGTAGTTGCTGTTTGGCAGTTTGTTTGTGAAATGTGATAAGGATCATTTGTTGATTATCGCCCATGTGAATCTTCAGCGGCCAAGGCGCAAAACCGCGGACCCGGCTGCAGTTGCAGTAAGTACCATACGTTGATCCGGCTGACTTCCGGTAGACTGGTAATACATCCACCGCCACATTAACGGTTGGTTAGTCGCTCTGGAAAGCCCTGCGTAGACAGAGTCATTAAAAGATCAATTTGCCGACAATTTCAAATTCATCAAGCAGTAACGCTTATGTGCAGACTGCAGAATAATTTTCATTGAGCTTGACAAGTCTGTTGTCTGTTCGAAACGGGATTTGTTAAACGTATATTCAACGCGTAAAACCACAATAATGCGACTGATGTTGTGTGCCTTGTTAGCGGCAGTCCTGTTGATACTCCCGCATCCGATGGCATCCCTTCCTTTGTCGCGACAAGTGCGCGATGTTGTGGACACGGTAGGCATTAATTACGTCTTCTACAACATGATCATGACGTCCATAGCTTGGTAATTTTAATTACGTGCATCGTGCACCATAGGAGATTTTTCTTGCGTATTCTTCCAATATTCAAAACTGTTTTCCGCGAGGGCGCTCTTCGATAGCACGGATACATATAAATAAGTTATTTTATTCCCGTATATAAAATTAAAACGTTTCGTACAATATGAGCTGCAGTGCTGATGTAATCGGAATGCGCTTTTCTCCGGACGTGCGATTTCTAACAAGGCGATTTGAACATTATGCAATATTGATGCTTAATGATTTCCTTGTTACCGGTAAATAAGAACAATAATTTGAAAATATTCATTCTTTTATTTTTTTTAATTTAGTTGTTATCACGGAAATTTACCATTTAAACTTTAATTTTCGCACCGGTAATGGATAAAATGTTGCACTCTGTACTTAATAATTTTGACGTTGTTTTACAACCACCTCAATTTTTGCTTAAGTACAGAGTACTGCAACATAGCAGCTGGGCAAAATTGTATAAAAATAATTGAATCAGGGACAAAATTGGTAAGTGTCCTGCTGACCGTGTTGTCAAATCTGCGCTGCTAAGCTAACATGTGAAAAAATTAATTTAAATGTAGCTAGAATCACTAAATTATGTCTAATGTGTACGACGTGCTGGTAAACAGGTGAAAAACGTGTACCAGACGGTGGCGAAGGGGACGAAGGCCGTCTTCCACGACATGATCGGCAACAGTCACGTGGCGGCCGAGAGCTACCGGCAGGCGGCCGACGCCAGCCAGCGCGTGGCGCCCTCCTTCCAGGACATCTTTGTCAACCAGCACAAGACCCCCATCCCCGTCCTGCCGCCCACTCAGCCGACGCCCGCCTGGGAAGCCCACTAGCGCGCTTCGACACTGTACTGCAATGTACTTCCTGTACTGCTTGACATAGAATATACTGTCTAATCTTTTGGAATCAAGCTGCCTACAAAAAATTTAGTTGTGGTGAAACTTTACTATATTGTATGTATTCCGCCGTTTTATTGCAATCCGATCGTGTTGTATTATCCCTACATTATAGTCCCTTCAGTTGCCTTATTGTACCGCCTTACTGCAGTTGCTTTATCGGTACACAAAATTTCGGAAGAGATATCAGTAAAGGTATAATATTATACAGAGTCGGAATATTATTAGTGTTTACCAGCGCAGGCTTTTTGTTACGTTAATAGGCAATTGCCTGAATAAAAATTATACAGAGTAGTCTAGATATCGTAGTGCAGCGGCATTTCCATTTCACTACACTATAGGGCTGAATTCTGCCTAGCTCTTAATATAGTTAAAGCAATTCGTATTTACTCTGCGCATTGAGCAAGGGTGAACTTTTTTTCATTGGGCATGACCACAGTTCCAGCAAAAAAGAAGTAGAAAATCCATTTGTTTTAAGATATTTCGGCGACTGGGAATCCCTGTACACGAATTTAATTAATGCATAAAAAAAGCTGTTACATTGGTCAAAATAGCGTTGAATCGTTTTATGTTGTTGATAACTTTATAATAATTATGAAGCAATAATTATAGGAAACCGTTACAGGCACCCCCTTAAACCCCGCTTGTTATAGACACCCCTTTGCGTACCCTGTTTATTATATGCACCCATTTTTGGTAATACGGTACTTATACGTACATAGTACTACATTGTACGAGTATATGACCCGAGCCGTTCAAGCTCTGGAGCCTTCCCTTAGGTACAAAAAAATTTTACGAATGTGTGCACTATAGAGAAAACGAAAAGAACGGCTCTGGAGCTCGCATATGTTCACTCATAGCCGACAAAACCAGTGTCCATCTCGCATCAGCCTTGCAGCTCGGGCCACGCCCTCGAAGTTCCCCTGAAAAGGGAAAGCAGAGATTTTAAAAATCACTTTCGTGTTAACGCTTGGAGTAATTAATTCTCTATGCCGAAATTGTGGTGTTGCCTAACACCGGAGCACTGACATGTGCTCCGGTGTCGCCACATGTCCAACTGCAGCAACACTTAGCTTGCTGCACGGTGCGGTCACTGTATAAATCCAATTGTCGAGCTTCTGTTGCCGGAGTCCAACCAGTGCGGCCCGATGGTTTTTGTTCTACATTGCTGAAACGATCTCTGTAGTATCACCTGCGAATACCGTATTCACAAAAGCCGCGGCTCAAAAGTCTTACCAGCTGAGAAAATCCAAGGTGATAACGGCTTGGAAGGAAACTATTCGTACAGACTGAGCTGAATAACGCGAAAGATGGCCTTGCAGAATAATTTATGGTACAGTACGTATAAGCTTTCTAAACCTTCAAAGCAAAATTGGACATCTTAATATCTGGGCATTATTATGGAACAATTTATTATTTGATAAATGCGGAAGTCATATATTTTTCTTTTTAGCCTTATTTCCACAAAACCCTAACTGCGACGAAACTGAAGTGCACTTGTAATTTTGCAGGTTATATTTACCGCTGAAGAATGACCACATTTTGGGAAGGGTTTTTAACTGCAGATCCCGCTAACGCTTTTTTAACTAAGCAGATTTTGCGTATAAAATGGCTATGCTGTTCTTTCGTTTGCAAGAGGGGTTGGTAAAGAGGTACTTTTCGTATTCGACTGCATACCCGTATTTTACAAGATAATTATTAGCTGTAGAAATAAGTACACAGAGTGGTGATGAACCTTCAATAAGTATCATGGTACGAGTACTAACTATGCACCAGAACAAAACGGCATTTACAAAAGAAACACTTCCTCTATGCTATCCTGATCGGGGATCGTACCCATGACTCACAAATCGCGTTTCCCCGTTGTACTTGCATAGATATTCGCTGTTTAAAAAACACGTTTGCCCGCTTTTGCCCAGTTGAAGTCGCTATGCCGTTTCCAACCGTTTCCACTATCTTTTTAGTACCGTCTCCATAAGGTCCGTAAATTTCGAAGACTGCCGCAACAAAATCGTATCTTGTTTGCATCCAAGTGTGTTTCGCTAGTTTCTTCCTTTCAGCGAGTTCGGCTGCTGTGCCGGCGTTCACGGAAGTGCGCTCGATATAGGAGGCCGCCAGCGTATCCACGCAGGTAACGTCTATGGCCAGCGGTTTTCCGCGCGCCCACGGTATTAGTGTGATCAGAGTACACAGAGTTCATATATCAATTATCGGCGGCCTGTGTTTAGTGAGGTACAGAGTACGAGTACCTTGAGTTTTACTAAGCTTAACCCGTCGATAACCTTTCCATCGAATACAATCCTTTGTATGGAATGTTTTGTACCTTAATACTTCGCTCATAGGAATTTACTTTCTAGCAGTGTCATTTGCCTTTAATAATGCGATTTTCAGAGCGACTTGCCAGGGCATTTTTGACACCAGGCAGCATTAGAAGTAGCCAGTTATCTGAAGCTTGCTGGAATTTTGTGCCAACATACATCCGGCAGAATCTCCTAAGGGATGACATAACGGCTTAACGTTCAGTAGGCACTAAGCAGTATCGCTTGCGTGTCTGGCACAATTAATTGCCTGAGGATGTCCTAGTTCCTTAAATTGAAATATCACGAAACATCATCGATGTGGAAATGATTTCTGATGATGAAAAAAATGGAAGTCATTTCGTATAATGTTTCATCATTTCGTATAATACGAGGAGGAGCTACCTTGGCCCGATCAAAGGCATACGCACGACCGTAAACCGATCACTGCTTTCATGTGTGTGCAGCAGCCTGCGAAGCAGCCCGTAAATACTTATGTAATTTAATCAGATGTTAGTTATCCGATTCGAACGCCCTTTCTCCTTTGTCTCTTTTGAAACTTTTCAACTAAATATTTCAAAATTTTGGAAAAAAAAGGACACTTACAGGTATTTTTATATTTTTCTGCAAGTGGACCACGTGAGGTTTTCGTAAATGCAGGCTAGCGTTGTTGTTGGCTGCGCCATGTCTGCGAGAAATTCCACCATCCAAAAGTTTCTTGGTTTACAATGGAATAGCTCCTAAAAATGCCTACAAATTTCTGCTTTCTTAATATTTTAAACATTGGTTGGAACTTGGAAAGTTTAAAAAAGGGTGCAATAGCACGGGGTGTAAAAGGTTGAATGATCGGCAGATGTGCGTGCTGCTGAGTCGTTGACTCCCGTACGCTGCCATCCTTGGGCGGCCAGCCGTGATACATAACATTAACCACGTGGCTCAGCGTTTACATGCACGGGCACAGTGATCGCCTTTATGGTCAGGCATACGCCTTTGATCGGGCCAAGGTAGATCCTCCTCGTACTGAAGGGAGTGAAGTACTACGGTATCACAATAATTATCAGTAGGTTCCACTAATCAACTGCCGGAATATAGCAGTACTGTAGCGATGCGTACGTAAAACGATGGTTTTATTCTACTTTTATTCGCTTGTACATTCTAGAACTTTCTTTTTTGTGTGCATAGGTTTTCTTATGTATACATAAATGCGCTTCGCGCCTATAAGTCCGTGCTTGGCGATACTTTGGGAATCAGTTCTCGCGTTATCAATTTGGCAGGTTAAGAGTTTATAATAAATTATCGTTGAGATTCAGTTTCTCGTTCGCGTAGATTCGTGGATTTAGCTATGTCACATAAAGATATTAGCTCACACTTTGTCGTTGTGTAAGGTCGGTAGGATAGATTATTGCGATAATTATTCCTATCGTACTGGTCTCTCCGTCACCATTAACGTTGATACTGGTAGCCATAAGCCAGTGCAAAAAAATTTCGTTCTCGCAATAATACATTTTAAACATGCGTTTAATTCCTCGTCCAAAGCTTCCAGAGTTGCCAATTACGAGGATTCCGGCGGTGATGTCTTCGTGTTTCGACGCAGACTGACAATATACACTAACGGATCGAAGAGCGCCTGAACGGAGTGCAGAAAGGAACAAGTTTCAAAAACAATTGTCGCCGGTCGTGCATTGAAATGCCACATTAGAAAACATATTTGTAAAGGTAGCCAACACACCAGAATACTAAAGCATGTCAGTGTTAGCACAAGAAACGGCTTCACTCGGTCTTTGGGTCCCTGGTTTCTACCCGGATGAGGCTGATGAAACGGAGCAGCGGGGAAGTTTGTAGGGATTGAATTTACGGTCGCTGCACCAACTCCAGGCTTTCTGACTTTTTTCTTGTACCATCGCTTCTTTGCCAAGACTGCATATATGACAGTGATACTCAATATGGGGATGAGACGATCAACGATGTTTTCGGCACGGTTCCAGTCGAGCATAACACCTGTGCAAAACAGTATTACAGGCTTTGCAAAACGTTCTTTTAATCAAGTGCAATTACTGTTAATATCCGTTACTTTATTTATTAGTGTCATTTTTGTTACGGATTTTTATTTCGTTTTCAGAATTTCGAGAATTAAAGTTTGGAACGTCAAAGGTCGTCCCTAGGCTGTGGACGTAATATCGAAACTAACGTTGCTAACACTTATTCGCTTACTGTATTACTACATTACTACAGTAACGACTTGTACTATACAAAATACTGGACATATGAAGTTTTATGTACGGTACATGTATAAAAAAATTTCAGCCACATTTAATTTTCCGAAGTACGAGCTAAATACGTTAGCGGCACGCATAATGTGGCTGGTTTAATGTTTTTACTTTTTTTACAAAATGAATGAGCCAGCGTATTTATGTTTCATGTTTTGTGCTTTCTTATGTTTCATTCTTATATTCTCTTTTTTAAAGCTAAAGATAACATCAGAATGAAACATAAGAATAAAACATAAGGAAACACAAAACAGGAAAAATAAGAAGGGTGAGACTATAGGCACCCCTTTCACCCCCGTTTGCTATAGGCACCCCCTTTTCCACCCTTTTTTACTATGGGCACCCCTTTTCAGTTAGATAATTCTCGCACCCCCTTTTTTTTCGAACTATAGGCACCTATTTATAATTTTTTTCCCAGGGGACTGACAAAGATTTTTGAACGTCTTTTTTGTTGCACAAATTTTGTTTTGACGATTTGCCATAAGTAGAAATCAGGGATTCACATAAGAAGGTGCACTAAACACTATCCGACAATGGGCCGGTTTGGCTGGTCCACGAGCATATGTAGATCGAATGCGTACGGCATCGTCCACGCGGACGACAATATCCCAAATATCCCAGGCTTTCAAATCGTCTGACTACGAATGTGTGTCTTTGTGTGTCTTTTTAATACTGTTAGAAAGTAGCTTAAAATGCGGAAAAGGCCGGGTAACTGTCCTTAAAGTTATTTTCTTGAGTAGCGTTTGTGTAGACGAGGTCAATTTCGGATCGCGGATTATCTTCGAATGGGATACGGATGGGACACTTCTCACAGAGCTGTCGGACATTATTACTACAAAGCCGTCTCTGTTGCAGAACTCATATATTACGAACTCATACAAGAAAAATTTTTGTTGCAGATAGCGCAAGGACTTTCTGAAAGTCCTCTAAGGTCAAGAAAATTGAATCTCAAAACATAGCATCAGACAATAAGGGGGTCCCTATAGCTTTCGCACTCGACGGAGTGCAGGGATTAATTAAACGAAAAGGGGGGCCTATAGACTAAGTGGGTGCGAAAGGGGGCGCCTATAGATAACGGGGGTGAAAGGGGGTGCCTATAGCCATTTCCAAATAAGAAACTAAAAAAAATAAAACATAAGAATCAAGCATAAGTAAGAAAACATAAGAACAGAAGAAACCTCAGAAAACATAAGAAAACGTCATCTAAGCTGTATTATAGTGTTGGGTAGTAAAAGTCCTTGCCAATATACTTATTTTTACTATCTGCTTTTGGAAGTTTACTTATTTTTACTTAGTATTCAAAATTTTTCGGGACTTTTACTTACTTTTACTTACTATTTCAATTTTTCCAAGGACATTTACTTACTAAATTAAAGTAAATTTACTAAATAAATATAATTTAGCATTGACAGTTTCGAAATGCCCTAGTTTCAGAGCGCAACAGACTACTGAAAATAGTGCAGATAAATTTCTTATGCATTAATCGAGCTATACAGGTGCATACTGAACAGTAAATATTGCTGCTTTTTAGGGCGGCAGGCTGGCAGCCGACTACTGCGCACTCTCACTTTACCTGCGAGTGGCGGCTCCTGCCACGCCAGTTTTACGTAACGCTCATAAAACAAATTAGTAAATAATTTAGTAAATGATTTTTATTTATTCAACGCTGAACCTTAATATTTACTTACTTTTTACTATTCCGGCAGCACATTTACTTACTTTTACTTACTTTGTTTCCAAAACCTTACTATTTACTACACTTTTAATATTAGGCGGACTTTTACTAAGTAAATGGCCGTTATTTAATTTTATTTAGTAGCACAACACTACTGTATTAGCCTGCATAACCCAAGTTACGTAATCCAGGTTTGAGTAATCCAAATCCAAGTGTCAGTAATTCAAATCAGAATCCAAATTACAGCGCGGGCTAAATTAATGGTTCGCCATTCACGCAATCTTATGATGGCTAAATAATACGTACCGTAAAACAGCCGGCAATCAGGATTTGATTCGGGTCGATAATAGTACAGCAGTTCCACGATGAATGCTGGCATCGGGAATATATGCGGCCAACACACTGCTGCGCAACACATGCACATAGCGGTGACCTTACTATGGCGATGGCGGTAGGAGATGGGATGTTGAATGGCCCACCAGCGGTTAATCGCAATCAGAGTGTGCAGGGGAACCGGCACCACCGTAGCCATTCTAGCGAGGTACAGAGCGAAGACACACACCGACCTCCCCATTATCCATGTCCCTCCCTTCCAGTCACGAATCAGGCTGAGGGGCCAGGCGGCGAAGAAGAACACTAGGTTGGCAATATACAGCGCTAATAAGTAGATAGTAAAGGGTGTAATCTGTTTAGGACGGATGATGTGATAGATGACGACCGCGGCGTTCAGTCCGATGGCCGCAACGGTCATGATCAATTTGATCCAGTTGGCTGTATCTGTAGTTGACTGGAGGTTGTAGGCGGACTGGGGGTTATAAAAAAGCGAGGATACATTAGAAGAATTCGCACTTGTACTAGTATTAATTTGCAGCTCCATTGATTGTACGTATTTGGAACTTGCATGCACAATTGTACATCTTAATTTAGAGACAAAAGCAATTTATAAGAAAGCGCAATATTGTTGGAGTTCAAAGATGTCAGTCATTCTGCAGTCATTCTCTTGCAGTATAAAATGTAGGCGCATCTTCTCGCTGTAGAAATTGCTATGTCACCGGAAAAACTTTCTACTGTTAAGCGCTTTAATATGACAACCCTGGCATTCCAGTTAGATAACCATACTGTATGTCCTTGACAGTTTTGCTGGTACCGGAAGGAGTGCGTGCTTTTGCTCCGCTGAATTTCCTAGGAAGATCCTATATTTAGCTAACAGGGCTGTTCATTTTCTTAGAATGGATAGTACGCGGAACCACTACCCGTAGATTCACTCATGAAGATTTGTTCGCTCATGATTAATCAACAATGTAAAACACCTAGCTGAATCACATCCGTTCACAGTACACTATGTACGCTGGTAAAGGTGGTAATTGTAAATTGCTCAATCAATTAAACGAAGTTGCTGCTATTATACTCTTGCTTGTTGTCATCGTTGCCGTCGATCCTTTACCGTTAAATTTTAATTGAAATGGATTTTTCGTTTACATGATCTGCTCTAGATCCAGCATTATACGTCTTTTATTGTCCGATAAATAATGTTTTCATTCTACACCAAGACAGATGCCCGAGCTTCATTCGTTTTCTTTTGCGATGAGCTAAAAAATTAAGCACGAATGCCTTACTAGAATTAGATACTCCTGTTCCGGCTGAACTGTGCTTTGGGCTTCATTTTTCAGGTTTTCTCAGTTAATTAACTTCGGTATTGTCGTATAGTCATGTAGATGAAGTTCCGCGTCTGCCGGAATCTGCGTTAGTTCACTTCGTTGCAATCGCGCTTCAGGGCAATATTACACAAATCGTGCAAGATGTCTACCTAAAATTTTGCCGATGTCAGCATAGTTCCACAAAAGAATTTTTATTGCATCGTTTGGCTAAGAGGCGCCGTCGTTAAGCAATCGACACGAACCGGTTTTTATGAGCTTTCTTCTGCAGGGGTAAACAATTTATCAAATCTCAGCTTTGTCAGATTAATTTTCAAATTAGCGAGCATCCCAGTGATTGCTGATTTATACACACATCCAAGAATTATAATGCACACTTTGACAAACTGTGTCTGGTCTGTTTTTCTTTTGGGACTACTGCGCTGCAGCGCCGAGAGAAGCCTAGGTGGTACAATCGGCTTTCACTTTTGCGAAATAGTGGTATAGCGAAATATTTGCGAAATAGTGGTATATTGCGGTATATTGCGGTATATTGCGGTATATTGCGGTATATTTGCGAAATAGTGGTATAGCGCCTAGGTGGTAAAATCGGCTTTCCCTTTTGCGAAATGGGATTTTTTACGCCAGGTTAAGCATTTACTTGTTGACAGATGGTGGAATCCAAAACGACAATGCTGGGATGTTTACGCCGCTTCCAAATTTCAACACAGAAGTGATGACACGTGACCAGTGTGAGTTGCAGTTCACCGCCCACTGCGGAGTCCGTTTCAACGTCAGCGGCTCCCTCGCGTGTGCCCAGAACCAAGGACTGGCAATCAACTGCAGCAGCGAAGCCACAAGCGAGGAAGTAAGGAATCTGGCGATAGCGCTATCCAGACCGCCACTCAAGGCGGTCTTCATCAGTCTGAATGACGGACCCCAAGTCGCATTCGAGAACGTGGCGCCGGTGCGCGAACAGACGGTGGTCTTCCAGCTGCACAACTGCCGATCTCCGCGCGCCACGAAAAAGTTAGCCCAACTCCGCCTGCCGCATTTACTGGAATTCAGCGTCCATCTCTGCCGCGCCCTGGACGTCAGACGAGCCGACTTCTGGCAGTCCGCCAAACTGCGACTTATCCAGTTTGTCAATACTACGCTGGAGCTCCTCGAAGGAGGCACTTTTGCCGATTTGCCTGGATTGCGACTGTTGTCGTTGGAGCGCGGATTATTCGAAATCTTGAAGTACCCGGAAGACATTCGGAGCTACATAGTGAGACTGCATTGCGGTTGTGAGTTTAAACAGTTCCGACGCTGGTTTAGCGCCAACGGACTGATGCAGTATGCGAACGAAGGGCAGATTTACCGCATCGAATACGACTCGTGGCGCAACGAAGATTTGGGATTCGACGATGTCTTCCTGCCTATCGACTGTACCGAGGCACCACTTCCCAACAAAACTCTTGTAATTCGGAGTGGTCTTTACTCGTTTTCGGTTAACGAGGACCTTTGTGAGTTTGGCATGCTATTTCTGACATTAAATTGAGTGTACATGCTCGAGAGTTGTGCGAATTGTTTGCAGACAGCGATCCCTTCCCATCGCGCTGTGAAAATCAAACCAAACCCGATGACGAGTTCCTCCGTCTATCGAGCCAGCCGATGACCAACAATGAGTGCGCCGTGCAACTGCTCAACCAGTGTTCGTCTTTGCAGAGGGATTACAGTTGGTGCATGGAGCACTGGCCACACGACCCATTCGTGGATGTCGACTGCACTGACGATGAACGGGTGCGCGAGATACGCGAGGTGGCCAAGGCGCTGGCACATCAGCCGCCGCGACCGACATTCTGGGCATTTTACGGGGATCTTCCCGTTGTGGCATCCGACATAGCTCCGATTCGGCGGACCATCGTGTTTTTTGAATTATTCAACTGCATCAGCCGGCGTTCGACGGCGATACCTGGGGATTTTGGTTTGACCAGTCTGCTGCACTTCATTTTCTGGCAGTGCACCGATCTTGACGTGCAGCGAGATGATTTTAAACGCCTAAAGTTTCTGCGCACAATGACGTTTGTCAACACCACGATTCGTAGTCTGCACGGCGATGCTTTCAGTGATTTGTTGGAACCGAGCTTGTTGAGTCTGGAAGCCTATGAGTATCACCCATTCGGTTCTAAACGGGCAGAGGACTTTGACCCGCTTTATCGCGAGTATTTGAGGCGACTGCATTGCGGCTGCGATTTCGCTGGGTTCCGCCAATGGTGGACGAACAACACTCTGCTTCTGCACGCGAGCGATATCGGATGGGCGGAAGTGTACGCTTTCCGCGGTTTTGCCACCAGCTTTCCGCTGTCTCGTCGAGACATTTATCTGCCGATTGACTGTGCCTTACCAATTCCGCGCAGTGTCTATGACATTAATTACAATGAAACCGCTTTTTCACGACACGCAGAACCATGTGAGGCACAGTAATGAATGCGGCCATTTATTGCGAGGATTTTCCAGCCGATTATTTGATTTATTTCCAAATTTTCCGCTGCTCATGTCAAACTGAGCAGACCATTTTAATTATTTTTGCAGTTATTACTGTCATTGACTGAAGTATGAACTCTGAAATGTGGAATCCAGCACTATCCAGGGCACACCGACAATTTATTTGTTGACCGCTATCCTGCTAAGCGACAACTTGATGACGACTTCTTCATGAACGACAAATTGTTTACCCGACAGTTTGTTGAAACGACAACTTGATGATCAACTCGTAGCTAAAGAAAGTTTGCTGACCCACGACAATTTGCTGACCTAATAAAACATAAAAAAATAAGAAAATCTAAAAAATAAGAAAAAGGCATAAGAAGACATACAAATACATAATATTGACATGCTATGCGGAAGTCGCACCGCGACAACCGCACCAGTTGATCAAACCTGCTCAATCGGTAGAGTGGGAATATGCTCTGGACTCCGTAAGTGATACTACAGCCTACAGTGCCTAGGTACGAGCGGGTTGCTGTGCCTAACGAAAGTTACCGAAACAATCAGGAACTTCCCAAATGTCTAATCACCAAACCGAACGAACAAGCAAACAGAACAGAACAACATGAGATATAAACTTCCTTCTCACCTAGAGTCACACGACCTTTGAGCTAGAAACAAGCTCACAGATTTAGTTGAAGTTAGAAACTTCAGACTGATAGTTAGACCAGAATCGTGGATGCAATTAGCGATCAAATACGTTAGACAAGAACAGCACATCGTACGTAACGGAACAGACAACACGTACGTCATAACACGTACGTAATACGCGCAAACTACGCATAGCGCGTTACCCCCACTGCTACAGAATCAACGATTGCGTTAATGAAAGCAAAAAACAAAAAAACAGAAAACAAAAAATCAAAGAAAACTCTAAATCCAGGAAATACCGTAATCCTGGGGGATCCGTTTCATCATTTGCGTGCGGAATCCGGGGTGTGACGTGGTTCGAATAGAGGCCCAAGTTGATTTTCCGTCCAACTTCCAAGTAATCCGAAGTTCCTCGTTCCATGCGCGTCCAGTTTTATCGTCAGTCCATCCAAACGTTTCGTATCCAGGTGAGGTTTTCACCCTCCTTTCCCTCTGAAGAGCTCGAGGATCCGCAATCCGGCAGGTCAAACACATCAGAAGTGGCAGCCATTCTGAAAAACACTGGTCACAGCCAATCAATCAAACACACAAATTAGAACGGATAAATACCGTCCAATTATCAGCATCTTCAGTGCACCAAAACGTGGATATCTAATTTTCACTAATAACTAGCAATTATCCCCACTGCCGGTTTGCACTTGCAGTCGAACGATCAGACACAGTCAATCACAAACAGGTCACAAGAACCGATACGATTGCATGGTTCTCCACAATGATCTAACAAAACATAACCAGTATCATCCAAGATAAATCTTCGGATGATCGATTCGAATCTCAACTGGAATATAAACATCCAGTTATGAAAATCAAACAGTAATCGTTACTACTGCTCTGACTGCAGATTCAAAATGATATTAAAGTCATTTTCACAGAAATCAAACGCTGCACCGAAGTACAGCGTTAAAACACGTAGCTACCACACCGGCGGCTACGGCGCACAACACAATACTGGATTAATAAGTACTTTTTTTCAGTTTTTTAAAACCAGTCAACCAACTGCCAGTACGAGTACAGTATACGGACTCCCGTCCAGCACCTAGCTCGCACTTAGGAACCGTGCCTTGCGCAACCATCTAAGGTCACTGCGGTACGCACTGCGGGCAAGCACCTGGTTCTCATTTAGGAACTTTGCCTCACGGGATTCTCTGAGAATCCACGTGGTCAACCAACACAACCACACAAAACGCCAAAAACCAATACCATTTACCAGACGATCCAGATCCCAGGGTTGTTAAAATCCGGTGGGCGCCATGACATGCTATGCGGAAGTCGCACCTCGACAACCGCACTGGATGACCAAACCTACTCAATCGGTCGAGGGGGAAAATGCTCTGGACTCCAGAGCCTAAAATAGTGGAATTTTAAAGATTGACGCCCCCCTTGGGGTGGGCAGGGGGGCCAGGGGGGACAAGAATTTTTGAACTTTGAAACCCGAAAGCATGCAAAAACAATTTTGTGCAAGTATATTGTGAGTACCAAACGCAAAGGTTACCTTTACATAGGGTTAGCGCAACGACTTGTTTTATTGTATTACAGTACATTAATTGAAATGAGATTTAATCAACTGAAACTTACTGCCAGATAAATTTGCTGCCAGTTGTGTCCGGGTATCACATTAGGACATAATGAGCAGTACGTGTCATTCTGTTTTCTCTCTGCTTCGCCAGTGAAAACCGGATACTTACGTGGTATCAACGCCTGACCAGCATTCAGGGTTGCCACTCGTTTGAAACAATACGGCTCCGTATTATTAAGACGATGTAACATAAAGACGATGTTTTCTGATGTAACAATTAAGACGACAGCGCGTTCTCTCGTAATTCAATGTAGTAACAAATAACATTTTTATTTTAATTTTTTTTTAAATCGCAGACCCCCTCATCTTTTTTACTGCATTTTTCAACTTTCAAAAGATTGACAGTTTTTCCCGTAAAGTTTGACAAAATTTTTTAAAGATTGACACTTGTGTCTAATAATTGACGCTATTTTAGGCTCTGCTGGACTCCGTAAGTGATACTACTGCCAACTTCCGCTTGGTACGAGCGGTTTGCTGTGCCTAACGAAAGTTACCGAAACCGAAACACTCAGGAACTTCCCAAATGTTTAATAACCAAACCGAACGAACAAGCAAACAGAACAGAACAGAATGAGATATGAACTTCCTTCTAACCTAGAGTCACACAACCTTTCAGCTAGAAACAAGCTCACAGATTTAGTTGAAGTTAGAAATTTCAGACTGGTAGTTAGACCAGAATGCCAGCTTTATTGGTCAAATCAAACTTAAGGCAAAATAAAGAAAGAAACACAAAAATTACAACAAGAAAATTTCGTTACAACAAATTACAACAAGAAAATTACAACAAGACCAGAATCGTGGGTGCAATTAGCGATCAAATGCGTTAGATAAGAAAAGCACATCGTACGTAACGGAACAGACAACACGTACGTCATTACACGTACGCTATACGTGCAAACTACGCATAGCCCGTTAATTTAAACAAAATAAAGAAATAAGAAAACATATGCACAACATTAGCATAACATAAGAAAACATAAGCAACACAGTAAAACACTTAAAAACATAAGAAAATATAAGAGTGCAACCAACATAAGAAGCAACAAAAAAACAAAATATTTAAAAATGGTCAAAGCTATGCGCAGGAATTTTAATTTGATGTCAAAAATATAATACGAGCTGAGAATAAAAAGATTTGCGTAAATAAAGGATTCACACAATTATGTAACATCGATTATGGACACCCTTCTCAACAAAGTTCTTCCACACTGCTTATATCAATGTTTTAACATCAAATTCGAATTCATCGCTATTAATTTACCGAGGAACAGCGAAAAAAAACGAAACTAAAAATTTTGCCCCTGACCCCATTGCTACCGCCCATGATACTGTGGGGGGCTTAGGGGGTTGGCAGTCAGAATTGCACACATTGGCTTAAAAAAATAGCACATGGTCGATGGGGGTCTCGAATAGCCCCGAGAAAAAAATTATTTTTTTTCTTTTTATTGGCGGAACTGTATCTGTATCTGTAGCCATGAATAATTTATTCATGACTACAGATACAGGTTCAGCAATAAAAAGAAAAAAATTTATTTGTTTTGTGATTTTTGCCCCCAAGTGTTTTTTAACTTGTGATATAGTTACTTTCAGTTTCCACCACACTAGCAATTGGGATCTCTGTTTTAACCGGTTTGTCCAGCAGTTTTGCTAGTAAACAAAAAAGGGGCCTAGGTAAAACATCCTGCTGCGCTAGACCTATATTATTAATTCATCTTATTGTCAAGATTTTCAACACTGGGGTCGCTCCCTTGGCAACTGCCAACTGGTAATCTGGCATCTGCCAACAAGACGCCGCACGTAAATGCTGACCCAGGTGGCTAGCCAGAAGCTGCAGAGAGGGAAAATATCTGCTACAGACGGCGAGACACTGCGCAAGCAGCAACTAACGAAGGAATTGGTATTTGCCAAGGTTCAGTGCCGTTTTTATTATAATTATTAATATTTATGGTTTACGCGCTATGGTTGTGAATTAGCACGTTCTGCAGATATATTATCTGTTTGGAGAATATCTAGTACCTTCAAATGTCTTCTGGATGCAACAATGGGCAGCAACCAAATGTGGCAATATCGCAATATACGCATATGGTCAGATTTGCATAAAATGAACTGATTTTGAGTGTTTCATATAAAGGTGTCCACATGCATTGGCGTAATGCACGTTTGAAGCAAATCACATGAAGTAGAGCAAAATGTTATGATTTAAAACTGAAGTAAAACGTTCCGATGAATGTTTTGTTATGGCGGTTTGAATGGCGATAGTCGACTACATATACTTCATGCCATGAAACAACTGGCACGGCGCCCGCCCGGTGTACAGTGCATCGGCAATCCACCCGCCCACGGTAGCGGTAGGCAGCAGTAGTAATAAACCTTAAACGACCGGCTTTTAGATGTGGGACGCTGATAAGAGCGTCCCGGGAGGACGTCCCGTTTTTTAAAAAATTATTTAAAAAATTCAGAAAAAATCGTATTAACCAGAAAAAATTCACCAAAATTATAGATAAATATGCAGATATTACCTGGTAAATTCCATTCAAGTATCGAAAATAAATGTCGAACGGAATGTTATCGGCTAGTAGTCAATGTGGAAATCAAGGTATTCCGATCGCATGTTCCGCTGCTGATACTGTATATGTAGCAGCACTGCAGCAGTAAGTATTTCTCAGATGGAATAATATCGAAAGGAATGAAATCGCTTATTAATTAAGCGGAAAATTAGTCAGGGTGTTCCGATGGTATGTTTTGCTACGAACACGGTATAATATGTAGGAAGCAAGCATTTCTACCATGTGCGTGTGCATTAACAGAAACCACAACAAAATGTCACACTTTAAGAAAATGTTCTCTGTCTGGCGTGGTAAGGGACTTTGATCCCGTACCACTTTTTCTCCTGTAGGTGCGCGTGGCAAGTATACTGTGTGTGCGTGTGGTACTCCATCAAACACGCACACAGTTATAATACACATGTAGAACGCCGGAACCCACGCATTCCTTCGGCTGTCGATCCGGAAACCGTACTACACACCCAGCATCCGTTCCCGCGTACAGAATTCTTGCTTGCCATACAAAAAGATGTCTACTAACGAGGTGAGACAGCGCTTTTACTTATTACTGTAATGTCAACTTAAAGTGAATAATGTCTTATATTAATAATGTACTGTAGTATCGTGAATAATTAAATACCATTTCGTGATGTATGTATATTGTATGTATACGTCGTTAGTGCAACAACATATACATACTGTAATGTCTACATTATTGTATGTACAATCATGCGATACTGCTGCTGGGATAAATTTTGACCATGTATTTGGACAACGCTCATAAGTTTATCAGTATGTGAGGATGAAATTTTAACGTGCTATGATACGTAGAAATTTTACTTGCTGATATTAATACTTAAATTTTGTAGCGGACTGATAGTGTATAAAAAATATTGAACGGTTCGTACTGGCATGTAAATTTTTCAGCTGTGCGTACTACTACGCAGAACTTTGTACGCTTATTTTAATGCGAAAAACTTTTCACGCTTATTTTAATGCGAAAAACTTTTCAGTCGTATTTTAATGCGAAAAACTTTTTGCGCTTATTTTAATTCGAAAAACTTTTCAGTCGTATTTTAATGCGAAAAACTTTTTACGCTTATTTTAATTCGAAAAACTTTTCAGTCGTATTTTAATGCGAAAAACTTTTTGCGCTTATTTTAATTCGAACAACTTTTCAGTCGTATTTTAATGCGAAAAACTTTTTACGCTTATTTTAATTCGAAAAACTTTTTACGCTTATTTTAATTCGAAAAACTTTTTACTCGTATTTTAATGCGAAAAACTTTTCAGCCTTATTTTAAAACAAAAAACTTTTCGATCGTAATGAAAGCCCAAAAATTTTTGTATTCTTATATTAGTGTGAAACTTATTAGTGTTAATTTTAACTGAAAAACTTTTTCTGCTTTAAATATACTGAAAAACTTCTATCGTCCAGTTGTAAGTTAAAAGCTTTTTAAACTTAATTTAATACGAAAAACTTTGTACGCTTAGTTTAATACGAAAAACTTTACATCCTTATTTTAAAACGAAAAAACTTTTCAATCGTATTTTAAACCTAAAAAATTTTATATTCTTATATTAGTGAAGAGAAATATTATTATTATGGAACCGCTAACAGTTTTTTATCCTTAAACGTTTTGTTAATTTACTTGTGTTTTTTTTTTACGTTTGTAGGGTTTGAAAAAGGAATGGCGCAAGCTAATGACGGATGCCCCGTATACGAGCGCCCTTGAGGCGGCGCGTAGGCTTCTGGCGACTGCCGCATCCGGGAGTGCCGATGAACGTAATCAGTTGTACGAGAATGCGGTAAGGATTTTAAGGGGATTTTTTTAAAAAAGGAAGAAAAAAATAATAGGAGTTGACCATTATTATTGCTTACCAGGTGTAGTTTTGTTTTGCAGCGTGCAGTTCTGAACAGCACGCGTGATGTTGAGGATTCTGCGGCCAGCATTCAGCGAAATGCGATTCTTTGTGTGGACGCGTTGAGCGCTTCAGTGAGAAAAATCCAGCACGAGCTCAGCAGTATGCGTAAGGAGTTAGCAAAAGGACTGGAGGAAACCGAGGAGGCTCAGTTCAACAGAGACGATGTTATGGTCGTTCTCCGTAAACGTACCGCCCATCCGAAGTTGTTCTGCCGGGAAGAATACCGCAAGCCAGATCCGCTGACCAAAAAGCGGAAGGTCAACACCGGTAAAGCAAAAGCCAAAAAAGGAAGGATGGCTCAACAATGTATCCTGAACATATTGACTATACAGATAACGAATTCGAAAAGGCAAGTTCTATATGTTTTGTGAATGGATTTATGGTTATGTTTTATTGTTGTTTTCTTCTTCTATAGTTGGTGATGGACCATGAAAAAGGATTCCGGGATATGTTGATTAGGAGCTTGTGCCAGGTTCCAGTTCAGAATGGGTTCAAGGAGTTGGCTTCAATGGCGGCTGACCTGAAATCTGCCTTCGACACTTGTGTACGCGAAAACCTGCTAGCCGATGACGAAGTTCCAAAACGTACTTGCATCCAAGCGATGGTGGATTGCTACGTAAACGGGTTTAAGGCCGAGGACGTGAAGAAGTTCCAGGAGGCAAAGTACGAGGCGGTGGTGTTCATAGAAGACTTAAACGCTGAATATGTGTCAGCATTAGAGGACTTGGATTCTGAGTAATGGCGATTAGTTTAATGATAAGTAATGTTTTCGTATAAAATCGTTGAAAAAGAATAACAAACTCTGAACTAATGTACCAACGTTTATGCCAAGTAATTCTATTTCGTTTAATCAAGATATCTGCATAATTATATTGAAAAAAAATACGGCCCTGGGCAGAAAAAAACTTAACAATTAATACTATATCAAGCCAATCAAGTACAAACTAGCATTGCTACACAGCTGGGAATATAAAAGCACTCTGCACAACGCACGAACTGCTCATTTCGAATTTTTATAATTCATTCGCTTAATAACTCACTACAATGAAGCGTAGCATTCAACTAGAAGGTTCTCCTTGTAAATATTGCAAGTGTTTTCATGACAGCGATGAAGAAGTGCAAAGTGTTGCGGAGGCGTGTCCCAAGTGTCAACCGGTGCCGAAGGAGGTGTTCAAGGATTTCCAACTCCCAAGAATCTCCAAACGCTTTCTCCACTGCTTCGATCACCAGTTGGAGGGTGTACTCAAGTGGTACGCCACGTCCCACCGGAAGCGACCCAATTCAGCCGGAGAACCAGGCGACATTGGCTGTGCGATGTGCACATGGAGTGATGGCGTGGAGACGGTGTTTGCCGGCAATGCAGCGGATAGTCTTGAAGCGCAAGGCGCCAGGGATATCTGGACGTCGACACCACTCACCAGGAACTGGTTGCGGCAGTACACCGAACCGGAAGGATGCGGGCTTCCATTTTACCACCAGGACCTGATGAAGTACATCGTTTCCTTGATGACCCCCATTGACTTATATCACCTGAAGCGGGTTTCATCGGCGTTCAACTTCTACGCAGAAAAAGAAATTGCTGCCCGAGCATCCAATCCTGAGGTCACCTTCAAAGCTTCGGATGTGGATAACTACACCAATGAAGGCATCCATCCTCCGTGCGACAGGTTGTACTGTGAAGTTCGAAATTTTACCAAGAAGCTGTTCTGCGTAGTGTCCAACCGCACGAAATGCATCACATTCGACATGAGGGAAAGCAACGGGGCCTACATCAATCACATGCACGACCATTTCTGCACGGTACTGCTGGTTCTTCATGACGTTGCACCGGAGCTGCGCCATATCACCGTTCGGGGAGGTTTCATGAGTGTCAGGGCCATTTTGGAGACCGTGGAATGGATTAACACGCTCGAGTTGGAGGACGTCTATGTCTACGGATTCCGTCATCTTATCCCTGGATATGTGCACTCGGACATGTCGTACCTTGACTGCGGGTGGATGAGAACGGAGAAAACGTATGTATCATTCTTTTAAGGCTTTTGTCATAGAGTCAAGCTGCGTTGTACTAAGTGTTCTGTGCGTTGCAGGTATCTTAGGCAAAATGCTTTGTTCGCTCGTGGAGCAAACCAGCCTCACCATGTCCTCTATGTCGCCGAGGAATTACTGGACACTTTCCATCTGACCTCCAAGGATCCACTCCCCCATCTAAGGATTATGCCTCATCTGCGTACGATTTGGCAGACAATCTGCGAGTACTGGATAGCACGCCTGGACTGCCGCGGGATCGATGCAGTGGAAACCATCATGCGTAAGGTGACATCTAACGCCGCGTTCTCAATCTACAGTGCAGTGCGTATTTGTGGAGACATTAACATTGGCTACCTCAACGAATTTCGGTACTTTATGTTACGCTTAATACTAGCAGCACGCGGTATGGCTTTTCCACGTATGATTAACTGTTTCTGTCAGTTGTGTCACCAGGCACATCAGAGGTTGTTGATAGACGCAAAATCCTGTTTCGGCAATGGAACCAGTTTAGCTATGCTTGATTATGTTTTGTAACCTTTGGTCATAATCTTTGACTTCTGCTAGCGTTCTTTTTTTTCGAGGGTGGTGGGTAGTCCTTGTTTACGATTTGCTGTTAGTAGTTAAGGCGTGTTAGAACTTGACCGATTTCATTAAAAATAACAAGTATATAAAGCTGCAAACGTCGTGTAGCAGGGTATTCATAATTTGAAAGTGTCTCTTAAGTGCATTAGCTGTATACATTACAAGTGGTGTACATTGAATAAAAATGGATGAGCAATCTGACAACCACGAAGAAGAAGAAGATGATTCGAGTAGCATCCCTAGCATTTCAGAAGATAATCTACTACTTGAGCAGGTAGCAGATACTTATTCTCAGAAATGGAAAACTGCACTTGCGGTTTTTCAGTGCCTCATCGCGCCCGAGTTGTTTGATGTTCCGTTTTCACGCCTCTGTGGAGTAATTGAAAACATTTTTGGAGAACTGCTTAACAGAATTCTGGTAGATAAAATACAGCCTTGGTATATGGTACGCGTGCAATTATACAGCGACCATTTACGAAAGAAAATTCCTATTTGGACACCGTTAATGCGGCGGGACGAACTAACTGTGGACCGTATCATGGCGCGCGTTGAACGGGTGATGCAAAGTTCAACCAGCTTTCGCCTGGATGAAAGCTTCAGGATTGAAGTCCAGTACACAGAAACGCCGGATGGTGGAGGTAATGACAATCTAGTGATTCCTGAAAGCGTTAAAAGCTACTGAAGAACAAAATGTCTATTGTTCGTATAAAGAACGACGACAATCTACTGTAGCCGCGGGATGAAGTGGCTCCACAGAGTCTGGTGTACGAGAAAAGGCACGACGTATATACATACGCTGATTTGAATAAAAAATTGAATTTCTGCTGCATTTTTGATTTTCAATCAATTTAACGGGTTTTTTTTCCATTTTAAAGTGAATAATTGCATTTCGGCTGTGGATAGCATTTAAATCAGAGCTCTAATTTGTCGTAATGGGCCGAAAGCAGCGTAGTTATACAGAGGAACAGATTCGAGCATTTCTGATCGGTTTTGCTGCCGCTGATGTGAGCGCACGGAGTTACGCAAATAATATCGGAGTTCCGTGGAGAACTTTCACACGCTGGAAAAGGTACAATTAAATTTTTAATTAATTATCTACTTGCGTGTTCTTGAAAGCAGCCAGTCTACCTGCAGCAGGTTGAGGAAGAACGAGCCTCTTCGGAAGCAGAAACACAAGCGAAAGCCGGACCACTCTGACATAGAGGACGCTTTGTACGAATTTCTCCTGGCCGAGCGGAAGAAGGGTCTGATTGTGACGCGTCTGGAGCTGAAAAAAAGAGCGCTAGAGTTAGCCCAGGTGGAAGGAGCTCCAACCTTCAAGGCTTCAGACGGTTGGCTTACTAGCTTTTTGAAGAGAAAGTGCCTGCGATACCGTGTCCCAACTCAACATGCTCGCAAGTCTGAATTTACAGAAGAAGATCTGGTAAGCTGAATTTTTTTAACATTAGAAATCAGAGCTCTGACCATTTTCTAAAAAACAGGAAGAAGAGCTGGAGTATTTTCTCCGCTTGCACAATTCCATCGTTCTGGATGAAACTCCCGCTGACCGCGTATTCAATTTCGATCAGACGATGATTCGCCTTGTAGCGCCGAAACCGAAAACACTTTCTCCCATTGGAGTGAAAGAAGTAATTGTATAGCTTTTATTCACTTCATTGCAAATATTTATAACAAAAGCTATGATAATTGTGAGAGCTCTGATATTTTTATTAATTTTACGAGTCTGGTTTGTTGTGGTTTTTGGGGTGCCCCTGGGAACCAGCGGGGGGGTGGTTCCTCTAGAAAGCTGACTGTGGACGGCTTTGTAGGTAACTGTTAAACAGCCTCCTGGCGAAAAAGAAGGAATAACTGTGTCTTTAACGATCCGTGCGGATGGTGGAAAATATCCCGCTGTAGTGGTGCTAGGGGGGAAAGAATGGGAAGCTGTCAGAAGGGATAATGAACAAGCTGAAAGTTCCTTCTAATATTTTTGTTGAGAGCTCTTATTCTACTTGGTGGACGGAGGAGATGGATCTGGACTGGATAAAGTATACATTTCCAGAAGATACGCAAAAGCGTGTTTTAGTTCGAGACCAAGCACCTGTCCACAAAAAAGAACCATCGGAGCTCCTACTTAGAGAACGAAATGTCGAGCAAATCTTCGTGCCTGCTGGTCGCACAGGCGATTATCAGCCGCTTGATGTCAGCGTTAACAAAGCAATGAAGGCCTCTTTTCGTAGCGAATATCAGCTTTGGCGAGCAACTCATCATGAAGTAACAAAATCGGGATATCTGAAGAAGCCAGGGCGCCAAGACTTCCTGGATATGATCTCTCGTGCATGGCAAAGCGTAACCCCAGATCTTGTCCGTAAATCGTTTTTCGCTGCTCAGGTGCTTAAGAATGATGACCGAGAACGTGATCATGAGAGCTCTGAAAATGAGTATGAGAGCTCTGGAATGGATAAGGAAAATTTACTAGTACTTGATGAAAGCGATTCTGAAATGGAGATTAGTTTATTCAGTGATAGTATTTTAGAGAGTGATAATACCTGTGAGATAGAAAACGGTCTACCAGAGTAAAAGAGTACTAAAATAAAATTAATAAAAATAAGCTTTACGTGTGCGCTGCCCGTTGGCGGTAAGCACCGTGCTCAGTGCCCGACGAGGGAAAGGCAGCGCCCGGATCTAACAGTGGAGCCACTTCATCGCGCGGCTACAGTATGTTTACCACGGTCCCTCGTAACGGCTAAAGCCTTAGCAGATGAAGATATGCAACTATATGCAACGCTACGTGACACCAGGGCACATAAGCACCCAGAAAAGCAGCATAAGGATCAGCAGACATTATTAGCAAAACAGCTGGTAATAGCTGCAGGCCTGACGGAGCGGCGCTACAACCTGGACGACGTAGAGACTTTTCAAAAGTTACTAAGCGATTATCAAATCATAATTGTTGGACTGGAACAGCTTAACAGTATTATTTTCGCTGGAGAGTTCAGGGAAAAACGCTTAATGCTATTGTATTACGCTAACCATTTTGACGTTTTAACATCGCTGCAAGGGTGGTACGAGAAGAGTAAATGGTGTTTTCATTGTAATCATGGGTACGGGCACGAAGGCGATCACCGCTGTAAAGATACCTGCAAGCTTTGCTTGCGCGAAACGTGTGAGCTTGAAGCCAACTTTGCGCGGTACTGCGCGGGATGCAATCGAACGGGTTTTAGGAACGACGAGTGTTTTAACCACCACCTTGCAACGACAGCGAAAAGCAGAAACCATAAGAAAAAGAAAAGCATTTGCGAAAAATTCAAGGTCTGCCGAGATTGCTCAGCATTCATAAAGACGAGCGTGAAACGAGGATACGGGACAGACCATGTGTGCGGTGAGATTTATTGTTCGGTTTGCCTGTGTTATGTATTACCGGAGCACCATGACTGCTATATTAAACCAGAGAAACTTGACGACAAAATATTGGCCAAGCACAAATCTGCTAGTTTCATATACTTTGATTTCGAGACGTACCCTGACGGTAATGGAAAGCACGTCCCAAATTTTTGTGTAATACAAGTGCAGGAAGATGGAAAGCCCATTGAAACCCGCCAATTTCCCGAGGATATTAGCAACATTGGCAAAGACATTGCAAGTGATGTCTGTGAATTTATTTTCCAAGAAATGCATGCTGGTTTTTTTTGTTTGGCACACAACTTTAGAGGGTAAGAAATTTTGCTTTTCTATGGTTCACACAAACTGAATTACGTTGAAAGTATACAGCTTACAGATGAAGTGGTGGGTTTTGTAGGTTCGATGGCTATTTTATTTTAAAATGGCTGCTTCAGAAAGGTCAAGCGCCTGACGTTATCATGAAAGGTTCGCAGATCACGCACCTGCGCGATCGGGAGTTTGGTATAAACTTTAGGGACACACTAAATTATGTGCCTTTGTCGTTGGACAATTGGGCTAAATCGTTCGCCGTTGAGGAAACTAAAGGTAAATTCCCACATGTCCTAAACCGACCACAATTTTGGAACACCGTTATTGACTATCCGGATATTGAAAAGTTCAACTACCGATTTATGAGTGATAAAGAAAAGCATGCCTTTATGGAATTCTATAATGAAGACAAAGCAATGAAAAGTGGATTGTATGACGTCAACAAGGAACTGGCCGCCTACTGCCACCAGGACGTAAACACGCTACGTTGTTGTGCAATGCAGCTGCGCGAACTTTTTTTCAGAATCACGGATGGACTATGCATTTTTCAATCTGGATTAACCCTGCCAAGTGTGTGTCATTATTTCTGGAGGTCCAGGCTGCTAAAGCCTTTGGAAGTTGAAGTTATCCATATGCCCAGCAACCGCATATCCTCCAACAAAGCCAATTCATGGCTACATTTTATCAGCCAAAGCCAAGGCATTGAACTGGAGCGAGAGTTTAAAATTGGCGCATTATTCATTGATGGGTACCATCTGGAAAGTCGAACAGCATATGAATTTTATGGGTGCGTGCACCACGGCCATCCCATATGCACGAATCCAAGTACGCGCCACCCGCATCAGGACGCCACAATGGGTGAGTTGTACGAGCGAACTGTTCGGCGCGAAGAAATGTTGAAGAAGCTAAAAATCAATATTGTGAGCGTATGGGAATGTGAATATGACAATCGCATTAAAAACGATGCTAATTTTGCTGCTGATATAAAAAACATACGGATTGTTGAACCACTCGACCCGAGAAAAGCCCTTTTTGGTGGGCGGGTGAACGCACTGGTATTGAACTACAAGGTTAAGCCAGGGGAAAAGATAATGTACCTGGACGTCGTGTCCGAATATCCATATGTTAACAAAAATAAGCGCTACCCTGTCGGCAAGCACAAAAGAATAACAAATAACTTCAAAAATCTGGATAGCTATTTTGGAATTATGCATTGCAAAGTATTACCACCTCGTGACTTAATGATACCAATTTTACCGGCCCACTTTGATAAATTAATTTTCACGTTATGCCGGTCTTGCGCTGAGGAAAAGAATCAAAACGTTTGCACGCATGAGGATCCGGAGCAAAGAGCTCTGACGGGAACTTGGTGCACACTAGAATTACAAGAAGCCGTGAAAAATGGCTATGAACTAATGGAAATTCACGAAGTGTGGCACTATCCAGACAGCAGAGAGCGTTTTTTTGCTGATTATATTGACTTTTTTCTGGCGCTTAAAGTCCAAGCTTCTGGCTGGCCGGCTGATATTAAAACTCCAGAGCAGCAAGATGCGTTTCTGGACCACTTTTTCCAAACGGAAGGCATCCAGTTGGACGGCTCCAAAATAAGCTGGAATCCGGGGCTGCGGCAGCTCGCTAAGTTGTGTCTAAACAGGTTGGTGCTGATTCATATTTGTATGTTTTGTGTCGTCGGTAATATACTAGGAGTAGTTGTAGTAGTAGTAGTAGTAGTAATTTATACTACGCTGTTTATAGCTTTTGGGGCCGGCTGGGAACGAGAAACAACCTTCTCAGCACAGTTTTCGTTAACACTGTAAAGGATTTTCTGCACTACTTAACGTCTTCAGAATTCGAAATCCATGATTATGACGTATTTTCGGACGATGTTGTACAAATAATGTACACGAGGAAGGATGCTATGGTTCCGACTAACCCGAAAACGAATGTAGTTCTAGCGGCGTAAGTGATAATGGTTTCAGTATTAGTGCTTCATTTAAAACAGGTAAATTAGAATTGTGCTTATATTTTGCTGTCAGGTTTACAACGGCACACGCAAGGTTACATTTATTGAAATTCATGCAAAGAGCGGGCGAGCGACTACTATACTTTGATACGGTAAGAACTAAAGCATTAGCGTAAAGCATTGTTAAACCAAACGAAACGAGAAATTAAACATTTTTTTTAAAATCGCAGGACAGCATTATGTTTGTTCAGCGTCCAGGTGATGAGCCGTTTGAGACCGGGTCCACTCTAGGGATGTTGAGCAATGAGCTGTCCGAGGACGACTTCATTACACGCTTCTGTAGTACTGGTCCCAAATCGTACAGCTACGTTACGGCATCTGGGCAGGAGGTCTGTAAAATCAAAGGATTCGAAATTAATAAACTAACAGGGACGGTGTTGAACTTTGATTCGATGTTGAAAATCGCCACCCAACCTCTCCAAGATGAGACCGCCTCCGACAGCGCTCTTGGTAACGTTCAGCCCGAGTCCCTTTCCGTCACATATGGTAGTACTATTCGCCGGAAGAAACGGACATATGAAATCCAAGATGTGCCTATGACGAAGCGGTTTAAAAAGACATACGATAAACGACGCGTTTTAGACGACTTTACTACTGTGCCATACGGTTACGTACCGTAACCCTTTGATCATGAACTTGAATGTTGGCATTGTATCGTTGTTGAAAGTAAAGTCCAGAGTCGTGTTGGCTTCGTCGACACTGGCGGCGGCGGCGGCGGCGGCTGATGGTCGATAAGGTAGAAAAGTAGTGACGGTACCAAGAGTAATGCCCGATAAAACCAGAACAAGTGCTAGCAGACTACCAAAAAAAGCAATCGTAGTGACAATGCATATCGCTTGACGCTTTTCCTGAGCAGGGTCCATGGTAGTGCAGGATATATAAACGACGTAGTTTAGACCACTAAAAATAGTTAGGGAAAACGAAACGTGCAACTGAAGTTTAGCCAGTCTTGCTACAGTTTATATAGTAGTCGATAGAACATGTCTGGATGTGAACCCGAAAATGTCTGTTTATCGTCGTCGTCATCATTATCAACATCGCCATCACTACCACCATCACCTGGAACAATCGATGCCCTTCGGCATATTATCTGGCAAGGTGACTGGCAAGGTGGATTGCACGATAGGTTAAAAGGTTGCCTCGTGGGGAGTGTTGTTGCCAGTAGCTTAGGTCGTCTGTTCAATACACCCTTCTACAGAAATCATTTACCAACCTTGAGAGAAGTTCATGAACGGTGTGCTGAAGTGGTCA